CCCAGACCCCCCCCCCGATAAATTACAACTCCCCTCATAGACCAAGAGGCACGCACTGGCAATCTGCCATCTGTGGGGATTTTCCTTCTGCTTGTCCCGCCATGCACCGTCGCTCATGCCCTTGCGGATGCGCTGTGTCTGAGCCCGCTTGGCACTGCGAGCACTCGGGTTGGGCGCCTCACCGCATTCGTTGTTGTCAAGGTGATTGGGTGACAGCTTGCGCTTATGCTGATCACAACCGCCATGGAAGGCAGGGGTAATGGCGCCCGTGTCATCGGTCGCCGCTGGCAGCAACATTGCCGATGCATTACCGACAACAGCACCGCCGTCCCAAACGCCTTTATCAGGAAAAATTTTAGACTTATCTTGCTGTTTTTGTGTTTGTTCGACGTTCAAGTCGTTGCCTTTTGCGTGTTTGTCTATGGAAGGACCGGTCATACATTCTGCTATGCCGCGTTGACTCACGGGCTTGACCTTCTTACGGCCCCTCATATCTATTTTATGATCGATAATACTAAGTTCTGCACACTACGGAGCAATCTGGCAGCAATGGACGTTTTTGGCTGAAGGAATGAAAATGTACGGATCGGCCTCACTTTGTTCCTTATTTCCAAAGGCCAAAAAGGCCTCTTTATTCCTTAAAAGTAATATATTACTTAAAAAAAAACACTGATTACGACACGACCAAGAGGATTAGGATTGGGACCCCAGCCTCAGAGTTAGGATTGCGGTCCGGCCCCAGGATTAGGATTGGGACCCCCCCCAGGATTGGGATTGGGACCCGGCCACAGGATTAGGATTAGAACCCCGACCCTAGGATATGGATTAGACCACCATTCTGGATTAGGGATTAGAAGTGGTCCACCCCTGTTGAGATTAGAGGATTGCTGACCGGTACCCACCCCCTGGATTAGAGGATTAGGACCACTTTGCACCCCTCTGGTCAAAAATTTACTTCGAAAGCAACAGGCATATACACTACAAGAAGCAACCCTGAACTGTGTTGTGAATACTGTTTACATAATATATTTATATACTATTTATATATTATTTATATGGTTGTACCATGGTTTGCCGGTATAGGACCCAAAGGTGGAGACGCGATGTAGACCCGGAATCGCATGTGCATGGCAATGCCCTTGCTTGTCGACATCTGTGAATTTGCATGCTAGGCGAAATGTTGCTGACTCTAACGACCCCTGGGCTTTCTTCCTCGCAAACGCCACACTCGGGCCTCCAGTACGAAACTGTCAATGGGAGAGACCGCCCTGCTGGTCTCTGGCTGCCAGCCAACCTTCAGGCTGCTATATAAAGCTACAAACCGTTTCTGAAGGACATGTTGTCTTTGACACTTATCGTCGCCTTCCCCTCCCCGGCCTTGTCTGCCTCCTCCCTACCTTGCCGCCTTTCAAACCCTGTCGCCTTTCTCCCCTCCCTACCTCATCACCCTTAACCCTCCTGACTTGGTCGCCTTCCCCCATCCCAACCTCGTTGCCTTCTTCCCTCTGGCCTCATCACCTTCCCCCCTACCTACTTGTCGCTTTCCCCTCTCACTACCTCGTCGCTCGAGAAAGGCGACAAGGTAGGGAGGGTGAAAGGCGACAAAGACATACGACAGGATACGTGTCCATGGTTACGCGTATTTTATGAATGGCAGTGTATGGATGATGCTAGTATCAGTTACTAATCGGTATCGAAAAAGAGATGAGACGTTAGTAACCGGTTACTGCAACCGCGGAAGAAAAAGGTAGAGAGAGGTTCAAGGTCTCATAAAGGATAGCTCAAGGATCCTATGGGTTGGCCATCATGAAGTCCACATGTGCACTGGCGCCTATTTAGTCATACTGAAGCCCATTTTAAATCTCGCGTCCTTCATGCTATCTACCCTGCGACTTCAGCTTGCCTACCCGCAAAACATTTGTATGATGGCAATCCGGTCCCAGGAAAGGCTAGTTATGGCCCTGAGCGCAGCTCGCGCCGCGCTGTCAATGCCTTCGACTCCAAAACAATTGGACAAGGGTACAATTTAGCAAACTATATGTACCTTGACTCCGGCTGTTCTATTTTGCCAAGAGGCATAATCGTAACTGTACGATCCCTAAGGAGATATGCGCAAAAGCCAGCAGCAACAAAACAGTTGTATCCTCAAAACATTGATACATACCTATGCAGATATCTCTCACCAAGGGGCGCCAACATCACCTCCTTGAACCCTTGCTTCCTACCTGAGTTGCCTTTTGCACGTTCTTGTGCATAGAGCGTAAAATGGATCTAATTAGAAACAAGCGCTATGGTGCGTCGTCACAAACCAGTATTTGGGGCTGTCGCGTTTCTTGCGCTAGAACCTGCGCTTGGCATATGTCTTTAAAATTGTTTTTCTGTAAAAGGACACCGCCTTTGTTTGCAGCGCTTGTATTGTGGAGATGATTTTCCTGCATCGACGTTTCTGTGCTGTGCCGGTGTCCATCCAACAGGGCAATTCAAGTCTTTTTATGAGAGGTTCCAGTCCAAGTTCTCTCATTAGGCCGGACAGTAAGGCGCCATGCCACAATCAAACTCGGAAGCCCGGCGTTCCAGCCACGTTGGCTCAACTGCTGCGCCACACACGCCTATCGATCCGACATTTTCGCAAGAAAAGCAGCAGGAAATGAGTCAGGATGGGGAGCAGCCATGGCAGCCTGTCGCACCGCGCTTGCGCTTATTTTCCCCGGCCACGCCACGACCCGGCAGCGCCACGCCAACCGCCTCCAGATGCCATTCCCCTGCCGGCCAGCTGCACATTTCTCCTACACAACGTCCCTCCTCTGCCTTTTGCAATGGAGCTTCCGCACAGCCAGAACAAGACCGGGAGCGTCTGCTTAAGGCAGCCGGCTCCGCCCCTCCCCCCACAACCGCCACATCCTCCTCACCAAGCCGAACCTCTCTGATACTCAACAGGGTGCAGGCGCTGCATGCACGTGCCGCCGCGATGCACTCTCCAGCCCTGGCTTTTGCAGCAGCGTCCTCAGAGGCGGCAGCTTCAGCACCGCTGCCAGGGCCGCTGCTGTTGTGCGACTCACCTCCGGGCTCACCCTTGATGATGGTGCGCAGCGTCGCGCGCGGATACCCACGGCCTTCGCCCCCGCCTGGTACAGCCGCCGCCGCCGCCGCCGCCGCCGCTACCTGTCCGGCGCGCAATCCTCCCGCCGCCGCCTCCGTCACCCCCGACCGCCTCCGCCGCTCTTCCATGCCTGACCCCGTTGTTCTATATCCGAGCTCGTCCAATGGCGCCGTACATCCACCACAGGCGTTACGGCCACGCGCCGCCACGTGCATGCAGCCCCACACTGACCGTACAACCGACTTCGCAACGGCGACAACAGGAACCCCGAGCCATTCTCCCAACTTGGCCCGCGATAATTCCGATGGGCTGGGTGGTGGCAGGGGTGAGCAGCTGCGCCAAGGCAGCAGCCAGAAGCCGCCGTCGGCTGTCCTGAGCAGCAGCAGCGCGGCGCCGCTAGGCGGTGGTGATGGCAACGGCGCGGACGCTCCATGTTCCGCTGATGCTGGTGGCGTCAATGCAGCAGTGCCGGGGGGCACCGCCGGGGGCCGACTTGCATGGCCATTAGAGAATGGCTGCGGCAGCGGAGGCAATCCGGTGAGCGACGACAGCACCACAAGTGAGGTCCGCAGCCGAGCGGGAACGGCAGTAGGCGACGGTGGGGGGACAGCTGACGGAACCGACGACTGCCACGGGAGAGCCAGTGGCAGTGGCGATAGCAGGCCACTGAGCAATTATTATCTCCCCACCCATCCGCACCACCACCACCACCATCACCATGACCATCATCAGCAGGATGTCGGAGGCAGTGGCGGGGGCCTCCTGCTGTCCGTGTCTTCGCTGCCGCAGCCGCCGAACCCCTTCGGAATCACCGCCCTCTCGCCCTCTTCCCCTCGTGATCGACCCGGTTCCGGTTTCGGTTCCGGTCCTCCGGACAGCTCCCGGCGCTCCTCCCACGCGGCCGAAGGCGGCTCCCCACCTCCCAACACCTCCTCGAGGTCCGCCACCTTCCTAACCATCTTCAACCAACTTGCCAACGGCAACCACCACCCCAACAACCCTAGTTACAACAAATCCAATCCCAATCCCGTACACCACATCACCCTCAGCCCCCAGCTTGAAGGCCGAACCGCTGCACCCATGGGTGGGGGGGGCAGTCCCCGGGCAACCCCCGGCTTCAGCTCCCCAGCTCGACACTCCAGCTCCACAGCCGCATCAGCAGCAGCTGCCTTGATTACGTCACGATCCGTCAATTTGCGTCCGCGCTCTTTCTCTGGCGGTGGCGGCGGCGGCTGCACCATAAGTGCATTCACATCCCCAGCTCGCCCGCGCTCAGGTGTTGCAAGGCTTCGCTCGCCGGGAACAGGTTCCGGAACTGGCGGGGTTGGTGGCGGGGGCGCCATTGCAGCCGTTGCAGCCGCCACGTCGCCAAGTACTCTGTACGAGATTGTGCCGGATCACCACTCATGGCCGGCCGCTGCGGCTGCCGCCGTCCCGCTCGGCAGCCGCGTGTCTCGCGCCATTGCCGGCATCTTGCCATCAGGCAACCCGGGCACTTTCAATTTGCGGATGGAGGAGCGAATCGACAAGGTGAGGCAATTAGGTTGGACCCCTAGGCGAGGCGGCTGCAGGCGAGGCGAGCGGCCACGATGTGACTCCACGCGGTTCGATGGAGGGGCCCGGGGGGCCGACTCAAGCTCCATGCAAGGAAGGGGGGGCCTGGGTGGCCTGGGTGCTCGAGATGAGGAATGCTGCGTGTGATGCCGTACCCTTGCCGGAGTGGCGCGTGCATGGCCGCGTGCAAGGCCTTTCCCCCTCCCCCTCCTCCTCCTCCGCCTCTTCCGCAGCCGCGGCTGTCGCCGCCTATGCACCTATGCTACGTTGTTTTGCTTGCCTTGCCGGGCCTCGTTATAACCAGTTTTTGGATCCTCTGTTCTGGCTCCTCTGCACCCATCCGTCCGTCCACCTGGCTGGTTGCTGGCTTACACGGACCACCTAATCATCCGCCCGCTCAGCATCAGCCCACATCATCCCCCACCCGGCCCGCATCATCCCGCACCCGGCCCGCACCCGGCCCGCATCATCCCGCACCATCCCGCATCTGGCCCGCATCATCCCGCACCATCCCGCATCTGGCCCGCATCATCCCGCACCATCCCGCATCTGGCCCGCATCATCCCGCACCATCCCGCATCTGGCCCGCATCATCCCGCACCCGGCCCGCACCCGGCCCGCATCATCCCGCACCATCCCGCATCTGGCCCGCATCATCCCGCACCATCCCGCATCTGGCCCGCATCATCCCGCACCATCCCGCACCCGGCCCGCATCATCCCGCACCATCCCGCATCTGGCCCGCATCATCCCGCACCATCCCGCACCCGGCCCGCATCATCCCGCACCATCCCGCATCTGGCCCGCATCATCCCGCACCATCCCGCACCCGGCCCGCATCATCCCGCACCATCCCGCACCCGGCCCGCATCATCCCGCACCATCCCGCATCTGGCCCGCATCATCCCGCACCATCCCGCACCCGGCCCGCATCATCCCGCACCATCCCGCACCCGGCCCGCATCATCCCGCACCATCCCGCATCTGGCCCGCCTGGGGCCCCAGCAAGTCCCGAGTGTGCTCATGTCCCGGTGGTCCCCCTGCCTCCTGGTGCCTCCTGGTGCGGCTGCGGGTGCGGCTGCGGGTGCTGCTTTGCAGGTCCTGAACGAGGGGCAGGCGGCCAAGGCGACCCCACGAACCAAGTCCCCTTCGCCAGCACCGCCTAATCCCACCGTCATCAAGATGCTGCACGTGGGTGCAAAGGGGCGTGGCTGGGGGGTGGATGGAACTACCCGCTGGATAACTGCTATAGCATAAAAATGGCTTAGGATCTGAACTGGTTTCGGAGAGCTCACATGAGCGGGTCAGTCATGGAGGAAGCGAGGGGGGTGGTGGCGGGTTGTACCAGCCGTTCACACAACGACCCGTGAAGCGCGCTAAAATCTTCCGTCACCACGACCGTAACGCCTGCCTAGTACGGCTATGGATCCGCTGAGTCCGTACATTCCACTATCCGAATCTTGTGACACGTCAAGATGCCTGAAATGCCTTTTTCCTGCTTCACCACACCCCCTGAAAGGAACCCTAAACCCCCCTTGGCCCGTGTATCCACTACGCTGCTATGCCCTTCTGCGCGCCACACGCCACAGTCCACACCCGTCCGCCGTGCTTTACCTCCCCCCCACGTATATACACGTGCATACCAATCATGGCTCGTCCCCAATGCCGGTTGTACGACGACGAAAAAGTACGATTACAGGAGTTCAAAATCGTTGTTGGAATTCATGACATCGTTTCGTTTCGTTGGCTTTTACCCCACAGGACCGCCATGAGGCTGTGGCGCAACTGAGCGTTGTGGAGTCCGCCTTCAGCAGCGGGAACCCCGCGGGCTGGATGCACCAGATCATGGCCGAGGGCGGCTCAGGCACACCGCCCTGGGCGCCGCAACCACTACCACAGACACAACAACCACAGTCGCAAAGGCAGGGGGCTGCAGCTGCTGCTGCTGCAGCTGCTGCTGCTGCTGCTGCTGCCAGAGCACGCGGCCAGAATCCCAGGCAGTTACACGGCCATGGGCACGGCATGAACCATGCCGTACAAAGTGGAAATCCAAAGCTGTCACGCCAGCCGTCCAGATCCAGCCCCCACCCACCCCATTCCCAGCACCCCCACAACAACCACACCCGGCATCCCCACCCGCATCCCCACCCCAATGCCAATGGAGGAGTGGGGGCCAGCAAGAACAGTAATAACAGCAGCAATAATAATCCGCCGCAGTCAGCCCTCTCAGCCGCAGCAGCCTCGCAATGTCAATCGGGGGGGTTAGGTCCGGGAGTACCCCGCCACACCTCGGCGGAGACCCTGCACCTTCAGAGTCTGTCGTACTTGGCATCCAAAGAAGCCTGTCGTACACTGGCGGCGGGTTCGCGGCCGGAGGTGAGCATCAACTTGCGGGAGGTGTTTGTGGACGGCGGACCGGGCGGTGCTGCTGCTGCTGCTGCTGCGGCCGCCGCCCTGCAGGGCCGGTACGGATCTGAATCTGGATCTCGTGCTGCCACTACTCGGCAATTTGGATTCACGAGCAGCAGCTCCCCGAGTACCGCGGCCGCTCGGATGATGAGGCAGCAGTGAAGTGAAGTATTGCCGATGGCGGGGGGTTGGGAAGGTTGGATATATATATATTAGGTGATGCTGCTGTCGGTGCTGTCGGTGTTTGGTTCTTTTTGGCACGCTTGGGATTTTCCTGGAGGACCCATACAACAAAGGGGGGGGGCCTTTTGCATTTGCAATCAGGTTAGCAGGTTAAGCAGTTCCCTGTGCGGAACATTTCTGAGAGGTTTCCTGCCTCCTGTGTGCATATCCGGCCGGGTTGGCGCGTGCCCTTTGCGTTTTGCGCTTGCATTTGGTCGGGGGGGGCATCCGCGCTGTGTCCGAGGTTTTGTCTACCCCCTACCTGGCTGAGAGGGGACGGGGGCTCCAAACGAGCCATACATACGTACATACATGCACACATGCATATATAGACATACATACATATAAGGTCTCGCGAGCACTGAAGAGAGTAGGAAGGCTCCTTGACTCCCCTTCGCATCAGGGGTTGGGGCCGGGGGCGGGGAAGGATATTGAGAAGATGAAGAAACCGGGTAGAGCCATCATTACCGCCACGACCACCGCCACCACCACCACCACCGCCATCACCAACACCACCCCCCACCGCCACCACCACCACCGGGACAACTTGGAGCTGGTGTGTGAGCCATGTGTAGGTGCAGGTGCATGTGTTGGGGACAAGACAACGCAACAGCACATCGGAGCTGTTGGTTGGTTGGGAGTACCCCCCTGTACCTGCCCCTTGAATTCACCTTAGCTATATAACTGTGGCGCTACTTTTTCTCGCCGGTTTGGGTGCTCCTGACCTGACCTTAAACTGTGTTGTCGTTGCTGTCCTCTGGGGAGCTCGTTTGGCGGCTGGCTGGCGGCTGGTCAGCTGCTGGCGGCTGGTGACTGGAAAGGGGGGAAATGGCTTTGAAAGCTCTGTGTTGTGTGTGTATATGTATATGTATATGTATATGTGGCGCTGCTGCAGCCATGTTGATGAGCAAATGGGCTTTAATTAGGGCTATCATGCTGTGGGGTGCGGCTGGGTTATTAATGGAGATGGTTCCGGAGGCGCCCTGACCTCCCCTAGTGCCGTACAGACTTCTTCTAAGACGTCTTAGAGGGCTTGCACATGGCAGCTCTGGCCCTGGATTGCGCTTTAAACTTGAGCTACTTAGCGCTTTGTTCCCTTAGCCGCGTCTGGCACTGGGGGTTTATTGGATACTGGGGCGGCTAGGGGCTTTGTTGCCCTGCCGTTGCCCGACCAGGAGTGTTTGGAACCTCCGAAGGGGGGCCCCATGTGGGTGAGTGAGTGAGAATATGAAGACTATAAGTTGCGGCTGCTGCAAGTTGTTGAGGCATTAATTACAGTTACAGTGTCCGCACAAGTGCGGAGGGGTGTAATAAGAAGGATTGCCACATGCTATCAAGGTTGGGGTCCAAATGACTATTTTTGGAGACTGAAGAGCACTAGGACTCGTGATTACGGCGTTTCAAATAGACTGTGGACATATTTGTGACGAGTTGAGCCGCGGAATCGCGTCTGTGGTCTGTAGGAAGATTTCGATGTGTGAGGACGTGGGCCCCTACCTGCCTGCCGGCCATCTTGCTGGCTCGGTCTCTACTTTACGTGGCTGAGTGATTGAATGACCAGAGACGACTTCTCGAACCCAATCTCCATTTTACCAACACCTCAGTTTTCTCTCTTCTCCCAAGCCGACGACGGTTGGGCTCTTGAAGTATGGCTTTATTTGCCTACCCTCAAGTCCCCTTGGGGTGCTCGGGGTGCTGTGGAGAATGCGCAATTCTTATTAACGGTCCGTCGTTGCAAATCATGTGTTGGGTTTCGGAAGCTATAATCGCAACAGCCGTGGCGAATGACGCGTTGCGTGCTGCGATTTGTCACATCATCGCATTATTGGGAGCCGCTTCTGCGCTGTAATTATGTGCGCCATGGTCCTGTGGGGGGAGGTCGCGTCCTCCGACGTGGTTGATTGGTTGGATGGACTGCGGTGCGGTGGTTCATCCTGTCAGGGTTGAGCCCCCGTTATTTCGAGGATGTTTGTCTTTCTTCGTTTCGGGCCATGAATATGTCGGGATGAATGCCCCCTCTTACTGTTACCAATATAACGATACAATATATGATATGATGTGCGCGATATGAAATTGTCACTGGTGCTGAAACCTGTGAAGCTTGGGTGCGCGAAGGTGTGCATAGGCGGGGGATGTTGTGGATTTGCGCAGTCGCCCCAATTCTGCAGTGGCAGGTGCGACTGTCGTCCTTCAAAGACTTCGCGCCCGACCTGAACGTCCGATATACAGGCTATGGGCCGGCTTCCATTAGCCGGTTGGCGTCCTCTAGTTAGGGTACTGTAACTGGCGTTCTACCCCACTAATTGTTGGCTAATTGTCGCGTGCTTCTATGGTAGCTCAGTCATGCCAACCATAACTGTAACGGGATTTTCCAGGGCTTTTTTCTTCGTTTATCATAATACAAGGATCAGGTATAAATACAAGAATACACAGTTTGGTTTGAACATGGACGGACATGGACTGAATTGGCCATAGAAGATATCCGCAGTCGCTTACGTTGCATTTGCAATTGGAGCTAACTAAAGCGGCAAACAATTTTATTGCAAAAGAGCTATTCTCCTGAATTACTAAATAGGACAATTAGATTTCGCGGACTTACCACCAGATGGTAAGTTCGCGAAATCACCTGCCAGGTGGTTAGTCCACCGTGCATCGAAACAAACTGAGTTAAGCATTAAAATTAGCACAATTTTCTCATACCTAAAGGATATCTAAAGCTGCTTACTATGCAAAATTGAGCTCGCGCGACCCTGAACACGGACTACTGTGGCGGGCAGCAGGCGGGCCCATTTAGCTTATACATGGCTAACTGTCACGCACCAAAGTGTCTTTAGGTTACCTCAAGAGTCCACGCTAACTGGCTAATGGAAGCCGGCCCTATATGCCATTCGCGTGCGTCCTGTCGCGGGGCCTCTGACCCATGGACCTCAACCGTTGATCCACAGGCGTATATTTCGTTCTGAAATCATTTGTTTTGCAGAAGTATCGGACTTGTACAATAACACATTGGGTCAGGCTGTCGTTGTCGCAACTATTGTTGGTTGAAAACCGACATACCGGAACCGCGTTTACCAGTTTGGAAAATTGCGAGACCATGTTTAAAATAAGAATCAAGCGTAATACTAGATATCACATCCCGTCTCTTTCCTGAAAGCGTGTTGGCGCGCATAATTAAGCGTCGGCGCTGGCAAGGAACCCAGAACATTGCTGCTTTGATCGGACCAACATTTCAGGCTTATTATACCTACAATAGGCTTCAAGCAATGCCAAGCATCGCTGGTGATACGGATCCAGAGCTCGTAACCCTGTTAATTGATGGTGCGCGATACGGCGACTTGGAAGACGTCGACAGCGCGTTAGCACAAGGCGTACAGCCAGACAGCAAAGATGCTATGGGCCGCACAGGTGCGCTTGGGCATCGCCTTCCATAACGTTCTTGGGGACAGCCACCGCGTTCAACGTAACCAGCCCCCAGCAATTTGCATTCATTTCAACATACCCCAGCCAAATCTTCCTTCATCAAACCCATAACCGCCATACACTCCAACTTCCACGACTTCGCTGCCGCCCCGCTAGCCCCGCATGATAATGAACCAAATGCGGTCTTGGCAGGGATTTGTTCGCAGCAGCAGCCAGCCCCATGCCCTGCTGCCCAGTCGCCCCACCTCTCCTTTCCCCGCGGCTTGTTCGCCATTGCATCTCCAAGCGGGCCGTGTGCTCTTCGGCCCCTTGCATGTCCTTGCCGGCAGCCCTTCATATGGCTTGTGCCAACGGCCACTGCGAAGTCATTGGTCGGCTGCTGCACGCTGGAGCGGTGCGTACCGGGGGAAGAAGCGCCCGTTGCAGGGCCGTGCGAGAGCTGCTGGGCTGGAAAACAAAAAGGGTTGTCATCATTTTCATGGTGGCCCTTGGGCCCTCCTAGGGAGGCAGGGGGGCGGACGTATCGAGCACAGCATCACGGCTAGCCGTGGACGGGAAGAGAGCGGGTGCCCCAGCAACGCCCCCGGGGGATCTGGGGGCCCCGGAATGGGACACCAGTGACGCATGCATGGGTGATTCAGTCGAGCGAGGGCGGCAGCAGGCGGGGCCTTTGTGTGACCTCGCGTGACCGCACTTCACCTGCCCCCACCCCGCCCCCTGCTGCGCTGCGCTGCGCCAACTTCCTTGCGTTGGTCTGGTTTGCTGACTGGTTTGCTGGCTTCGCAGCTGACTGATATTCAAAACAACGAGGGCAACACTCCGCTGCACTGGGCGTGCCTCAACGGCCACAAAGAGGTGCGTCCTCGAGGGGGGCGGGGGGGGAGAGAGCGGGCGGGGGGGGACATGCCAGGAAGCGGATAAGCTTAATGAGACTCCTCAATGCAGTCCACGTGGGGGGACTCGGGCGGCTTCCTTCCCTTGACGCGAATGGGGCTGAAGTGGGGAGGGGGAGGCACCGGGATTCCGGCCGGCTAGCTACTGCTACCACTAGCACTACCACTACCGATACCGTTATCGATGCCGTTGGAGTTACCGTTACGGGGGTTAGAGGAAGACGGAGGAGAGTGGGACCACTGATGAGGGTGAGCGGACGGAGACAGCCAATACTCTTCCTCCCGCGGTTTGGAGCTCACGAGGCCCCACATGTGACTGACTCAGGGTTAAGCTGCGGACATCAAAAAGGGGGGCTCTCTGCCCGCTACTGTGATGCCTGGGCGCTGTCTCTTTACCCCTCCCCCGGCAGTATAGTGTGTCCCCTGGTTTGTTTGTCGGTATTCACGACAGCCTTTGCGCCCGTGGGAGCGCAAGGGAGCGTTCTTGCAGCAACCTCACGGATGATCCCCAACCCTCTTCAGGCTGTACGGCTCATACTGGACAAGGGAGCCAGTGCGGCGGTTCTGAACGAGTGAGTGGGGGTCGGGAGGGGAGAGGGATGTGTGTGTATGTGTGCATGTGGGAGAGGCCGGGGGATTGGTTAATGTAAAATAGCGTTGGGGTATCCCACTTCCCAGGCTAGCCTAGCGCCATAGCACCCCAAGGGCATCAAGACATAGGAAACGAGTTGCATGGCGCAATTACATGCCTTGTCCCCAAGCCTTGTTGGTGCATCTGCTAGTGAGTGCTGCTTCCGTTACTGCTACCTTCAAGGTGTGTCCAGGGTGTACGGCATCCGTACCATCACCCAACGGGCCCCCTTATTGCCTCCAGCAACCCCCAACGGGCCGGTCGTGGCCCCTCTACTGGTTGCCTCCATATTGCGTGACTTTGGATGCCTTTGTAAAGTTTCCTTTCCAATTGTACAGTTGGGAACTAACCCAAGTGGAAGCTTCCTCATTTCTCTTTGCTGAACTCGGTATTTCGTTGTGGTTCTCCTGGTTCTTGCTGCCACTGCTGCTCTGCTTATTTACTTCAATTGTCAAAAATTATAATGCCGATGCCGTACCATCGCTGGCAGGGCGGGTCGTACACCTGTGGATGAGGCGCTGGCGCGGGATTTTATGGTGGGCGTTGTTTGGGTTGTGAGATGGGAGGGGGAGGGTGGAGAACGGGGCATGGCACCCCATCGGGTCATAGGCCCCGCACGATTGGAACCCTGCTTGTTGCGTACTAGGGTCTATACACCGCTTTGCCAACCCTTAGTCGGTCCCGTGTGTGCGTATGTATGTATTTGATATATACATGAGAAATAACTCTTTATTCATAAGGCATATATATATTAGCTTAACCACACCCACACCCACATATATATATGTGTGTGTGTGATTAAGCTACTGACGTGGAGAGGGGTGAGGTGGAGGCGCTCTGGAGGCGCCATGGCCATGGCCGTACTCACTCGTCCGCCTCCTGCCCGCATTCCACTCAGCTACCGCACCCTACTACACCCCGCCTATCCAGGACATCTTTGAGCTAATCAACTCGTACAACACGGCTGGGTCGGTTTCGGTGGAAGTGCAGGAGGGCGCTGAGGACGAGGGGGGCGAGGGAGAGGACGAGGGAGGCGAGGAGGGAGCAGCCGGAGAAGAGGAGGGGCGGGGGGCGGGGGTCGCACCTGGGTCGGGGGAATGAGGTCCTGGGGCTGGTGGACATCGGAATGCGGCCACCCACCCACCCACCCACCCACCCACCCACCCACCCACCCACCTGGGGAAGTGGGGAGGTGTCTGGGCACAGTGTGAGGAGTCGGGGAGTCAAGAAGACGAGGTCCCAGGCAAGAAGAAGCTGCCCATCCTGGTCGCATAACGGCTATGGTGTTATTTACAATGATACAAGTTAGCAGTTAAGTGCTCCAGGGAAGTGTGGGGGCGCTTTTGTAAAAGCCGGGGGGGGGAACATGTAAGGTGCCGAGCCGCCGAGCCGAGGGTGTTAATGCCAGAGAGGCGGATCACCGCTGCCGTAGTCGGACATGTAATGATGATGTTCAGATGCGGTGGGGGACCGCAACCGACCCCCGGCCTGTCCTGGCATACCGGCTCGATAGATCAATAATGAAAGGGTTTTAGGCAACTTCATGCCGTTGACTTGTACAGACGCCTACTTCCTGCGACGACAGGAGCAGCGCACGATCTGTAGGCTGCGATGGGTCCGCTATCCTTAGGCCATGTAGCGGCACGAAGGCACGAAGCTTGCACACACAGCCGACAGATAAGATGTAATCCTTAAAATATCATCGGGTCAAATGTCGTCCAGGATGGGAAACGCAGACGGGTAGACGACAAAAGCTGCTTGGGTCGGATGGGTGGTAGTATGGCAGTAAGAAGATGCCGCTAAGCTGCTAGCTAGTAGCGCCACGTTCAGAGGCACAGCGCCATCTGCTGTTTGCAGTTGTTATTATTGTAGTCAGGGTGCGTGCTTTGTGATTTGGTTTCGTAGCTGTCCTTGATAATCTGTGTGTCTGCCCCAGTCGTTTGTTGTGATCCTGTTGCTGTACTTACCCGGCGCGGCGGGGCCCCCACATACGCTTATTTGGCCTGAGGTGAGTTGACGTAAGACCAGCCGTACTGTCCACCTGCTGCGAGGGCGATGTTTTTAATGGCGTTTCGAGTCCGCGTGCTTCGTTGATGTTTAGGATTTAGGGTTTTAGGGTATTTAGAGAGTTATGGTCAAGCTAAGTTTATAAAAGGCTTTCTTATAAGAAAAACCAGGATGAGTATGGATCAGTCTCCCTATATAAAAAGATATCGGTATCTGTGTCTTTAATTAGCTTTAACCAGCTTTGAGCGGACAGCAGGGGTATATCTGTCCTTGATGCCTGATGCCTGGGTGATGAGCGGCAATAACTGCTGGGAAAAGCCCTATTGCAGCCACCAAACGGCCTTCCGACAGACTGACCCCCATTTTACAAAGAGGTCTAAAATCGTAAAGAGCACGAGTATTTCACGGTTTCTCAGATTTTAAGCTGTATGTGCATATGAATCCACGAGTTGGACAACGAGCGTTTGTGGACTGGGCACAGAGGCAGATCTGTGCCTGTGCTCCCCCTGTACCTGATCCCGTACTGCCTTTTGGCAGCTCTCGGGCTGCGATGACAAAATGCGTGGCTCATACAGCATGACGCGAGCAGAGCAGGCCCATATGGTCTCCGCAGATGGGGCTTTGGTACACTGGTGGTGATCCATGATGCCTCCATGCTCGCCACCAGGTCCTGGAGTGATGTGAAGGCTAACGGGACTCTTCGGCTCCCAGGGCCTTTGTCCTCTATTTCGCCTCGATTATATTATCAACAGTGTATTTTTTTCCGTAATATATTTTTACGGTTCCGTAATAAAATGGCATATTTGCGTTCTGCGCTCCGTCATAGACCATGGTAAAGGCCTGGTACGGTCGTTACGGAGCCGGGGCGGGCCCCAGAAGACGTCTTTGGGGGCCTTCGGCCCCCAGAGACGTTCTATTTTAGTATAAATAAGTTATAAATGAGCGATGGGGCCCAAGAAATTAACTACTATAGCTGGTCAGGGTAGCGTCAAAGCATTCCTGACCACCGGCAGGCCAAAACCCAGTAGCGGCGATGCTGGTAACACTTCAAACAATATAGCGAGTACAAGAGAGACATTAGAACCAGATGACACATCTCAGCAATCTGTTGAGATCGTTGCAAGCCCTCTGAAGCGGCAGCGCCTTGAGCTGCTCGACCAGCGAATGAGGGAGGAACAGTGGCAGGAACAGCGGCAGGAACAGCGGCAGCAGCGACCCCGTCCTAAGCCGGTCCCGGCCACAGCGGCAGACTTCTACACCCGCTCGTCCTTCCCGTATGACAAGGCGGTGGAGAAGTGGCTGCAGAGGGCTGAGAAGCGTGGCCGTTACATGCACAACTGACGAGTTTGCTATGCCCTGGGGCATTGTACTGGCTGTGGTGTCGTGGTGAAAACGTATGACATAATCCTGAACGCCTGTGGCAACGGACGGAAACAGCTGAGACTCTAATGAAATATTTATTAAATATGTGCTGGTGTATCAGGTACCCTGTGTGGGCAGGGGGGGTCTGGGGGGGCTTGCCCCCCCAGAAAAAAAATTCTGGCAGTAATAAACGTATTGGACTGATGGCATATTTATTACGGAACTCGTAACAGATTCAGGATCGGCCTCCACGAAAAAAAACACACTGATTATCAAGGTGCATGTGTACGGACCCATAGTTTTTCAGAGACTTTAAGGTGCATGTTGTAACAACATCTGTCTATTTATTTCCTCTTATGTCCTGATTACATTTAGTGAAGCTCAGTTCATGTTTAAGCAGAATTGGAATCTATTTTATATAAGTTTGTCCATTAGTTTCCCTCTGGGGCGAGCTGCACCCTTCAAAGGTTTGCTGCACTTCTCCTACGCCTGCTTTGAATGGGCAGCAGGCGAGCATGTGTCTTGTTGCTGATGCCTGTGTAATAAGCAGCAACAACACAAAAAATTGTTAAGAGAATTTAAACTTTATTTACTTTACGATTATAATCATTAGGGGTGTATTAGCATCTGCAAGTCGTCAAGGAAAAGTGGTTGCTGAGCAGGTGACCCACGGGTCGGCCTGATGCGCCGCAAACGGCAAACCAACCAAAAAGGAGGATCACGCTTGCATCTTGGAAAGATATTTCATGTACCAGCTTGGGATTGGTGCGCATTCCGAAAGAAATTGGGTGTTTTAATCGCCGCGCTGTTATAGGAAACGTTGGACAAGCTTTCCAGGCTGCTTTGCATCGCAGGAAGACGAATATGATAGCTTTGGAGCCGTAAACAGCTTACACGCCAATTTGGGCACACCACATCACTTTAATCCTCCTTTCACAAAGTATCCCGAAATTGCCATCCCATACTATTCTACCGGCCAGCGCATACCGCCGGTCCCAGCGCAATTGCTGAGCAGCCCTTTGAAATCACATTTGGGATTCTTCTTTTACCTGTAACCTGCCGGAGGTGCGCGTCCTGTAGGAAGGGCTCAGGGCGTTTCCGGGCTTCGGCAGGACTCGGCGGCAGGCGCCATCTCTCGTCCGGTGATCACGACAACAATCCCTGAGCGACCTTTAGCCATAGCCCGCACATCGCATATCCTTTGGCAGTTTAAGCTTTGCCTGGCACTTCCTTCCAGATAAACGAAGTCAACAGCAATATTTCGGTCCTGCTCGGTCTTCCCACATTCTCGCGCGGGGGCATCACTGAATCACACCCGCCAAGAGCCACGGGCTGTACATTTCAAGAAATTTCCGTAAAGCCTCGGCCCAACCAGCCAGGATTTCCACCTACCCAGCAAAACAGCGGCGCTGCCCCTGGTGGAAATAAGAAATGGAATCCACCGGTCAAGCTGCACTGCAGCCTGGTGGCTTAGCTAGTCGCCGCGATCTTGAAGGTTGTGTAGCGCTTGTGACTGGAGCCACCAGCGGCTTAGGTCTGGAGGCCGCGGCTCAGCTTGCGGAGCGCGGCGCCAAGGTCATTTTCGGAGTGCGAAATCCCGCCAAGGCGGAGCGGGTTGTGGCAGCCATCCGGAAGAGGTTAGCTAATGCTTTCATGACTTGCCTGTGTGTTGCTTGCTTGCTTTCCGCCTTTATGTGCTTTAAAGTTCGCATTTCGTTTCTTGTCGAGGGTTCGTTTGTTGTCCGCGCGGTCTTCTGTTTCTGGTCTCCGGTCTAAAAACTGCCCAGCCACGCGCGCGACTGAAGTCCCGGCCAAAAAGCCGAACCCCACCGTACGCACCATACATTTGCGGCGCAAATACTATCTGCCCCACTTTTTTAAGTTTTCCCACATAAATACCTGCCCCGCCCTTGGACCTGGCCGACGCTACAACGTAAATTGACGCCTCTGGCGCACCCGCTGCAAAAAGCGCGAGAGCGCTGGTCGACAGGGGCTTGTCCTTGTCCCACACGTATTTACTTCTTAATTCTTTTCCTACACCCCGTTTACCAAACAAATGTCAGCGCAAACAAACGGGCGCTATCCTCTGCGGTTTGACCTTAGCTAGCCGCTGGTCCACGTCCTGAATTCTGAGAGGTTTTTGTATCCTCTGTTGACTATGCGCTTATCTTTGACCTTACATAATATCCTGCTATCTACCCTGCCCGGTGTTTGCGTTATGTACGGGACATCAGGTACCCGGCCGACGCCGCCGCGGCCCTGGATTTCGTACTGCCGCCTGCCGTACCTCCTCTGGACGTATCCGACCCCGCCTCCATCACGCGCTTCGCCCGGGCCCTCCTGTCCGACACCGCCACCCCCATCAACGTCCTTGTCAACAATGCTGGGACGAGCATGCTGGCCGGGCCTTCAGTGGACGAGCGCGGCATCAACAGACTCGTTCAGGTGAGGACGTGGGAAAAAAGATTGTCGTTTAGAGAAGGTTTGTCTGGGGACATGTCTGGGGATATGCCTTATCGTGCCTGGGATTTTAGCACCGATCGGATTACCTCTTCCTCACCGTCAGTGTGATGTCGGGGGCTATCCATCTCGCGATGGTGGGCGTCCTTGCGCGGCCTTATCTGCGTTCGTGGAGAACCCTGGCCGTTTGTCCTGGTGTAGATGTATTGCACTGCACTGTAATGTATAGTACTTGGTGGCGCTCGTATAAATATACTGCTTAAGCTAAAAGCGATTCTTCTGGTGACGATGGCCGTGAGGGCGCGCATGTTTGCATGTTTGCATGTTTGCATGTTTGCATGTTTGCATGTTTGCATGTTTGCATGTTTGCATGTTTGCATGTTTGCATGTTTGCATGTTTGCATGTATGCATGTTTGCATGTATGCATGTATGCATGTATGCATGTATGCATGTTTGCATGTATGCATGTATGCATGTATGCATGTATGCATGTTTGCAAATATGCATATGCACGTGCGTCCTACTCATGATGCAACGCGCGGTTGCCCGGGTTTATGGACAACTTCGTCAACGCTCTATCACGATGTCGTACCGGCAACATGTACGACATGTACGACGACTTTCCTGTACCAGCAGTCGAATGTCCTGGAGTACATGTCTAGCTAAGAACCGCAAACTGTTCCAACGAATGATAATGACGATTTGATACGAGTGAAGTGAAGGGACTACGATATGCTTTACATATAAACTTATATCGCTTGCTAATATATTATACTTATGTCGCATGTGAGATCGCATGTTTGTTTTGAAATATTGAAACCGTCCCGGCCATTTCCCGCCAACCAATTAACCAACCGACCAACCAACAGGTCAATTACCTGGGCGCCTACCATCTCACTCGACTTTTGGAAGCCAAGTTGGTAGCTAGCGGCTCCCGCGTGGTGTGCGTATCCTCCGTAACCCACCGCTGCTACGAGGTGCCCACTGACCCACGGGTCTTCCTGCACAGCACCTCCAGAATGACCTACGCCTGGACAAAGGTGGCCAACGTAAGAAGCCATCGGGGAAGCTGGGATGTAAAATTTGAAATTTTAAAATTTGGAATTTGGAACGTGGAATGTATGGACCCTGTAATTCTCCCTTCAGCGCATTCGGTTCTGCTCCGCTTGTGACGCAGTTTGCTTGGGGGGGGGCAGTTAGAACTGTTTTATTTCATTCAGTTCGCATGTCTTTCCGGCACACACACCCACTGCATCCATCTGCGTCCTCAGGTGCTCTTCGCGTACGAGCTGCAACGGCGATTGGGTCCGCTCGGCGTCCAGGTGGGGTTTTATTGTTGGCCGAGCTGCCGTACACGTCGTACAGATGTCGTACACATGTACCGCGAGGCGCCTCATCGTCGTGATGAAGCTAGCTACCAGGACGCGTATCAAGACTTAAATACCTCGCGTCGGCTCTTATGTCTCTGCTCTCCTCTCTCGTCAAGCGCCGCTGTCGGTTCTGCGCCCTACGAACAAAGGCACCATCCACCACCATCCTACCTCGCTAGGGAACACCTTGGATACCTGGGCGCGGATGGCCCCCGACCGGCAGCCAGGGCGCCTGAACCCATCGCAATCAAGCAGGGTGTTATACAACTGCCAGGTGCTTGTAAGCGCCGTATAACAAATATATAATGAAGCATTATTATATAACTAGTAACTTTGCTTCATGCTCCCCCTCCCTCCACACACGCGCGGACACGCGCTCCCGCCAGTCGTGCGCAGTCGACCCCGGCGGCGTCCGTACATCGATCTGGGACGAGGTGCCGGCGCTGGCCCATCCCCCGGCCAAGTGGGTCATTGAGGCGCTCTACGCGCCGCCCGCTGACGGCGCGGAGGTGCTGGTGGCCGCGGCCACTTTGCCCTGGGAGAGGGTGAGTGGTGGTGAGGATGGGGCCGTGGGGTACAGGGTGGGTGGGTGGGGGAAGGGGGGGGGGAAGGGTGGCAGAGGCGAGCGGCGTTATAGGGACGTAGGCAGGATAGGTAGGGGGAGGCCCTGAGAGTGAGGGAGAGTGAGGAGGGAGAGTGAAGGAGAGTGGGGGAGAGTGAGGGAGAGTGAGGCAAGTCCTTTTTGTGGGGGACGGAGGCTGGTGCTTTAGAAAGGAAGGGGAGCCCGGGTATAACCCAAGTAAAAAGTAGCCCCCGAGAAGCTACGAGGGGTGCCCTCGACATACATACTGGGCGGCCGCAGGGCGCCCATGTGGGTACTCGCGACACCTATCTGGGTAACGCGCGACCGAGGTGTGGCACATACATACATGCATACATACATGCATACATACATGCATATTAATCTGGATGTTGCTTGCAAGATGCCTCGATCGCCAACGTCGCTTGGGAGCAGGTCGGAGGAGGAGGAGGAGGACGAGGAGGAGGACGAGGAGTTGCGCACGAGCAATAGCCAGCAATGCTCATCTTGTTGCTCTGCCCATCTTTGCTGCCCATCTTTCCTGCCAAAAAGAGCCTTCATTGCATTATGATGCATACCATGGCATATGCGCTTGGGTGTTGTACGACGCCGTACTTTTATGTCGTACGCAGGACCGCGTACCCCACGTGCTATCGCCAGCCCAGGATCTCCGCTACTACGCGCGCGGGGCGTTCACCAGCCCTCTCATGACTCTGATAGACGGCGCCTGGCGGGATTGGTCCCATGTGGTTAAGCCGGCGCTGTACGGCAGCTCTGTCGTACTTCACTCCCTTCTGGACTACCCCATTCGGCACTTCTCCGGCGGCAGGTGAGTAGTACGGCGCTGTACTGCACTGTGCGATAGGTGTTGCACGCGGTGGCGGTGGTGGTAGTAGTTGTGCGCGTGTGTGTTTAGGGTGGGTGGGTGGGTGAGATGTGGGGGGAGGCGGCTGCTGAGGCAGGTTGTTACTGGAGCTCATTGGCTGAGCCCTTTTGTTGGAAATGACCGACACTCGTATAATACACCAGTGGACGATAGCAGCAGTGATGTAATAGGACGCAACGGGGGGCGGTCCGGCGCTTTGCTGGGATTAACAAGAGCGTTTTTGGGATTCTTCTTCCTTGACGGCGCCGGGGTGTGGGTGCGTGCCGCCTTGCCAGGTTGGATCGTAAGGTGCTCGTTTTATTAGAGCGCGTTCCGTACGACATCATGTACGACATCGTACACCATTCATACATGCAGGATGTTCAACCAGACCATGGCAGTGCGCTCCGCACGGCAGACGTACGACATGTACGTGGCGGCGGAGCTTTGGTCGTACAGTGAGAAGGTTACGGGACTGACGGATTCTTGGCGGTCGCCGCCGCCGCCGCTGGCGGAGGCGGCTGCACATGCGGTCCTGTCGGGTTCCGGAGCGAATGTAGACAGTACGGCGGCCACCGAACACGTAAGATAAGCTGCTGTACAATTCGTACACAGGAAAAGGGAAAGAGAGTTATGTTTTACGACATCCACAGGAAGCTCAACATGTAGACATTTACGAACATGGGAGGGGATGTTACATAGGGCCCTGGGAAATAAGATACCGCTGTTGCTACCGCTGCGACTACTGCTACTACTACTGCTGCTGTTGCTACCGCTACTGTTACTACTGCTGCGACCGCTGCCTTGACTACTTAAAACAATTGTAACGGTTTCCTTTCTGTGTGCAATCTTGGCTTGCGCTGCAGGACAAGGCCAAGACCGCGGATCGCCCGCCCGCGGTCCCGCCGCTCCAGGGCCGCTCCAACACCACCTCCGCTACAGCTACCGCCGCCGCTGGCGGCAGCCCCCCGCCCGCGGCCTTGACCTCCAACCGCAAGCGGCCCGTGATGTCGCCCAACAAGGTAGTGTACGGCATCAAGTGCCGTTACAACCTTACCCCAGCCTTACGAGCTATATACGTAAACCCTTGACTGTTTTCTGCGAGTTAAGCCTTGTTGTTAGCTTATGGGAAAACAAAGGGATAACCAAAGGGGAAGGGCGTACGGCGGTAACAGAGCGCAGCGGCGTTACCCTACGGGCGGTGGTGGACCCTACGGTTTTGGCTGTTGCCCTCCGAAACCACCACAACACGAATTCTGCATAGTGGCGCTTCTTATATTCTAGCAAGGAAAAATGTTCGTCTTCTTCTTGCGTCTTCTCTCCTCTCTCTTCACGTTACGCAGGCTTCCCTTGTCGTTGATGTAACACTGTTGCATCGTCGTTTTGAAGTATCGAAATTTGAAATATCTACAAAATTGATATCACGAATGTATCTTCTCCCTTACACGCAGACATCTGCGGCGGATGTCCTTCAGCCGTTGGACAACCGACCGCTTGCTATCGACGCGGCCGCCGTCGGGAGTCCTAAGTGCGACGCCGTCGGCGGTATGTTCCCCGCCACGGCTGCCGGCGTGGAGAATGCTGGAGGTGTTGGCGGCGGCGGCAGCAGCACCACCCGGCGCCGCCTAGTCGCCACACGCCGCGACTCCGACGCTGAGGAGGGCGGCGGCGGCGGCGGCGGCGGCGGCACCGCTGTCTCTGTCTCGGCAGCAGGCGACGCGGCGATGCCCTTGGTTGCATTGCCGCCGCCGCCGGAGACGCTGCAGCACGTGGCGGAGGAGCATGGTGTCGTACTGCCGGGACAGTCGGCAGTGCAGAACGCCGGCGCCGGCGCCAGTGCGAGCGTCATCGGCGGTGACGTGCTGATTGCGGTGCCTAGCTTTGAGGGCGACGGGCCGACGGCGGGCACGCCGGCGCCGCCGCCGCACAAACGCCTGCATACGCAGTCTCCGGGTGGGGAGGCCCCAGCGGCGGCAAGCGCTGGCAAGGTTGGTAACGTCAGCAGCCGCCGCCGTGGTGCCGGTGCCGGCGGCGGCGGCGGCAACAGCGGCGGTGGAAGTGGTGGCGTCAGCGGCCATCGCGGCAGCGGCAGCGGCGGCGCCGGTGCAGGCGGCGTCAGCATCCCCGCCGCCGCTGAGGCGCCCGCACCAGTGGTCAGCCTGCAAGACGAGACCGATGTTGCCGCGGGCGATACGGCTGTCGTACCAGTAGGTAGCGTCAAGGTGGGCGGCACCGATGGCGTCGGCGAACGTCGAGGTGCCGGTGCCGACGCCGGCGGCATCGCTGGCAGCGGCGAGGTGCCGGCACCGGCCACAGTCGTTGGCCTGGGCGAGGATGCCGCCGTGGCTGCGGCGGCGGTGGCGGCGGCTGTTACCCCGACGGCTGGCGTGAGGGCGGGCGGCAAGCAGGCTATCTCGAATGCGGTTTCGGGGCCGCGGAGCTCGGAGGTGAAGGGCCTTGCCGCTGCGACAATGGTTAGCAGCAATGGTGGTGCTCACGGAAACATCGCAACGCCGGGCCGCACGAGCGCAAGTGGCAGTGATGGCGGCGGAAGCAGCAGCGCAGGCAAGGGCAAGAACAAGGGCGGTAAACAAAAGGGCAAGCGCCACTAGCAGGATGCCTGGATGACTTTTCTCGATGCCTGGAAGGAGATGCAGTTACGGAGCTCCAGTGGAAATAACATGTTATATTTAGAGTGGGGAGCCTTGCTGTGTTCGTTTATGTTCTCTTGGAGGAGGGCATTGGCTGTGTAAGCCTTAAGAAGCGACGCGATGGCTAGATGGCTGCAGTTGTATAGTAACTTGTTGCGCTGGAAGGCTCGCGACACGATGTTTAGTTCTTAGCTGCGATTCCGGCATTGGTTAGATTCGGATGGTTGAGCAGGTGCTTTTCCAGTTTGCGGCTGCGAAAGGGTTGTGGTTAGTCTGAAGTGTGACGAAAAGCCACCACAACCCCATGGGACATAATCACCATGTAAGACACATATCCTTTTAAGCGCAGAATAGGGTTACTGCAGAGATACGTACAGACGCTCTCTGGAGCGTAGGCTAGAGGATATCGGGAACACAGCTGTCATCAGCTGAAAAATCTCAAGTCCTTACACAACCAGACAATTTATGGTGTTGCATTAAAAAATCCATAAACATCGCTGCGTGAGTCTTGACATGTATTCATGTATACATGACGTGTAAAATCGCATTGTTGTTAGAGGTGCAGCTGCAACGCCTCAATTGCAACGCACATACACCTTAGCCATAGCTTGGCTGTAGCGTAATTGCATTGCGTGAATAGTGTAATGGGATTACCAGTTCGTGGCCATGCGTTACCCACGTCGGCGAAATGCCCGCAGCATGGCAGCATGGTACGACAGGGCCGAAATTCAATTGCGCGTCACGAATAAATTGGACAGCATGGGCTCGCCGATCACCCTTGAACTAGTATACATTGCTCTTTCTGATTTTACAACGTAGTATGAAAATGGAACCAGTAATTCTTATGGATTCTCAGCCTCTGAAAGAACTGCAGCCAGACTGCATGATGTCCCCGCCTCGGGCTGGGAAGTCCAGCTCTCTGGCAGGCACGCCGAGCAAAGTGACGCCTGGCAAGCGCAAGCTCATAAATGCTGAGGATGTCTCGCCGTCGAAAGTGAACAAATCTGTCACCAAGCACGAGCTGTTTACAAGCCCGCGCAAGAGCATGCGGGACCCTGAGCCTCTGCTCGATGAGAACCCTGATCGCTTCTGCATGTTCCCAATCAAGTATCCTAAGATCTGGGAAATGTACAAGAAGGCGGAGGCGAGTTTCTGGACTGGTGAGTCAATGTCGCTTTCATTTTCTGAGAGTCTAACGATCCGCCTTTTTTAATCGTAAGAATTAACATTCTCCTTCATGTGCAGCTGAGGAAGTTGACCTGGGTGATGACATGAAGCATTGGGAGAAGCTGTCCGACGGCGAGCGACACTTCATCTCGCATGTGCTTGCATTCTTTGCTGCCAGTGACGGCATCGTGCTTGAGAACCTGGCAATTCGCTTCATGAAGGAGGTCCAGCTGCCTGAGGTGCGACTTGACCGCGACGTTAACCGCGAAGCTTCGCTTTCCCCCTTCCCGCCCTTCGTAGTAACACTCGACATTCCCTCCAGCTTAACCCTTTCTATCATTTTATGACCGTGTCCTTGTTCATGCGACTTCATTTCGAGCGAAAGTTCCGTTTTCCTAATCCTGCCTAACCCCTATGTATGACCCTGTGCAGGCGCGTGCGTTCTACGGTTTCCAGGTGGCTATCGAGAATATCCACTCCGGTAAGTGACTCTTCAATTTTCAGTGCCGACAGTATAATCTACCTCAACTTCGAGGCTGTGCTATTTGGAACAACTAGGAGCACGTTATTATTCCATGCGTCATCCCATTCCAATCCATCGATGTGTCAGCTGGCTTGTCGTCTAGCCAGCCAACACAACTATGACCCTAGTAAGCCATTCCAACCACGTAGGTACTGCAGCGGATATCTGCGTTAATATGCATTCCAATCCGACGTTCGCCAACCCAATTTCCGTATGCCACGCAAACAGAGATGTACTCGCTTCTACTGGAAACCTACATCAAGGACCCAATTGAGAAGCACAAGCTCTTCCATTCCATCGAGACGGTGCCTTGCATCAAGAAAAAGGCCCAGTGGGCGATCAAGTGGATCGGCAGGTGGGCAGGGTAGCGGTTGCCAGCAGGCTTGCGAGGAAAGCTCACATGCAAATTAGTTCTCTGCCGCAATAATTGTCGCACAGTACATCCCTTCTTCCCACCACGCCACGTGTCTGTATTCTCTCCTTTTACATCACATAATTGGATTGACTCCTCTTATCTATTCTGCTTCCCCGCTCTGGAATTTCTTTTGCCTCCTTTTTGTTTTGTAATATCAAATGCTTGTGTCCCTTCCCTCGGCTTGCCGTTGATGTCCTCGTAGCGAGAGCTCCTTCCCGGAGCGGCTGGTAGCCTTCGCGGCTGTGGAGGGTATCTTTTTCAGCGGCTCGTTTTGCAGCATTTTCTGGCTCAAGAAACGCGGCCTGATGCCCGGCCTAACCTTCTCAAACGAACTCATCTCCCGAGACGAGGGGCTGCACTGCGACTTCGCCTGCCTGCTCTATGGGTGGGTTTGCAACCTGCGTGAGAAGTAACTGCATTGCCTGTGACCCATGAAAAGTGGCGCCCACCTTCCATCTATACATTTCCCCTTCAAAGCTTTCCTAAGGCACGGGGGATGTTTTCCAGGGTATAGCATTTCCAGGGTATAGCATTTACGTGACTCCCCATGTATTTAATAAGAAGGGTTCTTACACCTCTTAGGATAATCATGTATCTAAATTAATATGTGATTTTCGCCTTGATGGAATTTTTTGTTTCAAACATAGGATGCTGAGCAAGCAGCTTGAGGAGAGCCGTATCAAGGAGATCATCTGCGAGGCGGTGGACATCGAGAATGAGTTTTGCACGGATGCGCTTCCAGTGGACTTGATTGGCATGAACTCCCGCCTCATGGCGCAATACATCGAGTTTGTTGCCGACCGTTTGCTGGTGGCACTGGGCTGCTCCAAGGCTTACAACGTTACCAACCCCTTCGACTTCATGGACATGATCTCGTTACAGTGAGTACTTAGGGTTGCTGCTGTTACCTAGGCGAGATGGTTCTGTGTCATTGCAGCTGTCTGTTCTCTCGCAATCGCAAGTCAAAATTATCTTTGGCGCTGTTTGTGAAAACATCTGGGTGCCAGCAATTTTACGAAACTTATGTCACCACCCCCATACATGCTTTTGACAAGGCTTTATCTAAAGACTCTTGTATTGAAGGTGGACTCTGCGTCTTGTCAGCTTTACCGTCACCTCGCCGGTCTTGCATGACTCGGCCGCGCCGCGCATCTCTTGACTAGGAAAACAAAGGGGGCATTTCGTGCGTGCAGGGGCAAGACCAACTTCTTTGAGAAGCGCGTGGGCGACTACCAGAAGAGCGGCGTCATGGCTGGACTGCAGGGCAAGGTCCAGAACTTCTCGATGGATGAAGACTTTTGAAAAGCGCGCTGGCCGCTGGTTCTGAAGGTGGCATGTGGGCTTCCGTTGGGTGACAAGGATTCCGCGTGCTACTGTTTTCGAGTTGCTGATCGGAACATTGAATGTCCATTGCCAAAGATGAAGGGGATGCTTTTTTACAGAGCTATGTGGCCTTGACTTTCACAGCATAGGATGATGGACATTGCCGCGCGCTTATCTCACTCTCAAGTTGGGACGGCGCCCCGGTGTAAGTAAGCCTTGACAACGTTCTTAACTTGTTTACTGCTGCAGCACGGAAGGGGCACCGGTGACCCCTGAAATTAACCGAATTTGTGTCCCTAGCTCTTCTTCATGGCCTTTTGTTTGCTGATGCGCTCCCACTGCGTGCGCTGTGGGTCCTGATGAGGGTACTACTGCATACTGTATTTTATTTTCTACTAAACTCTTGACACGTCGCTTTCGTCTTTGGCAGTGGACATCTAATCTTGACCCGGTCAGCAATCGGCAGTAGCACGCGATGTATTTTATTTTACTAAATACAAGACATTTATTTAGGTTCTTCAACTGTACGGTGGACATTATTTAGCTATGGAAGCATCCCTAAGGACGGATGGCTAAGCCAACTGGGGAGCCAACGTTCGCCTGGTTTCGCCTGTTCGTTGGGGAAGTCTGCAGAGCTTCGACTTGCTTTGCGTATACGTGGCAAACATTGCGCCCCATCCCCATGATCCTGTTGCTGCTGGGGGATCTCCAGGTGGGGAACACCTCAGGGAGAAGGAAGCATTGCTGTTGGTTGGTGGTTGGTACAGATGTAGTTGGTGAGAGGCGAGGTGGCATGGTCAGGCGCCGGTCCTGTAACATCGCGAACTAACATGGAACAGAGTTAACGATACGGTCTTGGCATGTCCCGTGCACCATTGCCTGCTGTAACCCATTTCAGGGAACGGGGGGATTACCCCACGGGTAAAACCTTGTAATAAAGCGACAAGTCCGCAACTTCAGGCGCACTGTGCAGCACGGATAGCAAGGAGGAGGAGGAGTGAAGCAGGTTCACCAAAGTTCCGCCATCTATAATAGTATAGGCAGGAAGTCCAGGAAGACATGGTACATCAACCTGTATCATGGTGAGAGAGGTTCACACATATCCACCTGGTCAAGCCCAGTGGCCCCATTACGAGTTATCTGTACGCGGCAGATACTCCGCAACGTGGCCCAAACCTCAAGTCCCAGAACCTTAATTCCAAAGCCTTTGAACTTGATGTGCTTGAAGGATCATTTGAACTCATTCCATGTCCGATGTTCACGTGTACGACGAGGGCATTAATCAGGATGGCACCATCATGTAAAGGTATATAATGATATTGATGTGCCCGAGTGAGCAAACTGCACTGAAAAGTGGTCGTTGCCCATTCGCAACTGACAACCAGACATCAGCAAAGAAATAGACCCGTTCCCGAAACCAGGAATACCCCTTTTGCCGATGTCTGCAACTGATGACAACTCCACTCTGGCTTGCACTGTAACCAGCAACGGTACCAACGACAAATCGTTTTATGTAAAGTGTGACTTGTAACATCCTATCTACTTAAACATTTTTATCCCTTTCTAGCCGAGGATAGCCTACGACATGCTGTAATGTCGATAGAACGTTTGGATCTCCAATATGTTTTCAAGGTCTCGCAGTTGCGCCGGATAAAAGTTTGCAAATGCATTTATTTATACGCATGCCTCCTTATAATATATCCCTATATAGTACTTCCGCAGTCCGAAGATGTGCACTGCGTTCCACCAACTATCGACGAGGCAGTCATGCCTCCAGACTATTGCAAAATCCTGCGCCGCGTTTGCCTTCACCAGACTGCGCTGGTGTCATTTGATCCGGACTTCCATGCCAGCTATGATCCGGTGACCAACCGCAGTGAACTGCGCCCTCCACTGCCGTACCTTCAGTAAGTTAACGACCGCGTAAGCTTTGCCTTTCTCGATATGCCAACCTGTTCGCTCGAACTATCCCCTAGTCCATCTTGCGACCTCTACTCGGCGTGGGGCCCTTACACCGCCCATTTCAAACGTAGCGAGGAGGTCGTCAGCCGGGCTAGCTTCAAGCAGCAGCAGTACTCGGCCCCCTGTCCACGCGGGGACGGTCAGGCTCTTTTCGCCTCAACCCCACGCCGAACCACCCCCCTTAGAACCCACCATCGCCACCACTATAAGTGGGAAGCTGCTGTTCCGTGCGCACGACTGGCTTTCTGCGCGGCCGCTCCCTCACCATGCGGCAATGTGTTTTCGCTCAATCTTATGAGATTGAGAGGAGATGAAAATGAGATTGAGAGGAGACCAAAATGAGATTGAGAGGAGATCAAAATGGGATTGAGAGGAGATCAAACTGAGATTGAGCGGAGATTAATGGCTTCTCCGGCTTCCGCAATCCAGCTGGCCACACAAGACGTTCTTGGTGCATGATACCTCCCCCCCCCGCCCCCACTATCGTTTGTGGTTCGTCTTTCCCCCACTATCCACTATCACGTTCCGCCTACACAGCACTTGGAGAAGCTCCTGGAATATTCCGGGAGCCATGAATAGCGACGCCATCGTTGGAAACCAGGTCAGTCCGGTGGCGGGGAATATCGTCCTCCTCCTCCTCCTCGTCGTCCTCGTCGTCGTCGTCCTGTTAGTTTTGTATGTCCTTGAAAAAGGGGACTGCGGCAAACCGCAGGAAAGAGTGGAATTGGGGTCATCCCAGCCAGGGAGAAGTGGGGAGAAGTGGGGGCTTTAGGAGCAGGAAAAAAAGGGGAAGCCGGCCCCCCCCCCCTTTTCTGGAGGAAAACTCAGAAATCTACATACGTAGCGAATCGGGCCTGTAATGTGCCTAGGGGAGTATGCTGCTTTTTCAACCCTGCGGAGGTTTCATAGAAAACCCATGCTACTGCTGCTGCTGCTGCTACTGCAGCTACTGCTACTGGTCCCGTTTACGGTCCGGTACCGTCCAGGAGCTACGGTGCTCTTGCGTTAGCTCGCTCTTTCCCCAAGCTCCTTTCCTCTCATTTCCTTTTTCGGTAGCACAGTTGGTTCGAATTCTCTTCGCCTTCTTCTCTTCCGGTTGGTTGCCGTGAACGGTGCAATGAACTTCGGCAGGGGTTTGGTTTCCGTTCTTGACATGCCGGCATCGATTCCCTCACCTGCCTTTACCCCCCCACCCCACCCCACACCCGTTACATCGCCCACCTCAGGATGCTTACCTGCTCACCGTCCGACCCGCCAGTCGTCTAGAGGCCTCCCCCCACCTGCAGCCCCCTTCGCCCGAGGCGCCCGAGGTGCCACAGGAGCCAGAGGAGCGCCCCGCCTTCTCCAGGTGTACGGTACCTGTCGTACTGCTGACCGAGTGGCCCTTCAATTTTTGCGAGTTCTTTGTCAACGGAGCCGCTTCGGCAGACCTGTTGTTCCGGAAGCTACAGATGCTGCCTGGTGGGGGGTGACGGGGGGGAGGGCGGGGGGAGAGAGGGGGGGATGTGTGTGTGTGTGTGCCTCCCTCTTTAATAAGCTTCCCTGCCGCCCACGAGGCGCCGCCATATCCCCCGCAATACTTGTCTTAGCCGCCAGGATTGAGTCAACACACGTACACACACACAGGGAGTGGAGACACATTCGCCGCCAAGTCGGTAGCTCTTCCTTGCTGCCTGGCCCCTCAACACTGTATGTTTATGTATGCATGTATGTATGTATGTATGTATTAAATATATGCGCTTGGACGAACCCCTTCCCATTCCAATACCGACCATGTAATACCGTACTCCGGACAACCCTCTGTACTGCCCCTCAAACACTCGTGTCCCCTTACGACCTCCTTTCCCTCGTTCGCGTGCCATCTAGAGAACCGCTCGCACACACACACACACACGGCCCGGTTTGGCACTGTGCGAGGACGATATCTGTTAACGACGTTGTACGACATTTTACGATGCTTTATGTACCGCAGATGGCGATGTGACGCTGGCGTTGGCATTGCCTGCCGGTCTGGGCCTTATGCCGTACCATCAGGCTCTCTTAAGCCACCTCAGCATTCGGCCAATCACGACATTGGAGAAGATGGCGGCGGAGGCGGAGGCTACGTCGTACAGTCGTGAGGGCGGCGGAGGCGGTGCGCGGGTTACCTGGTCCCACGACGGCATCCCAAGGTCTTGTTTCAAACGGGTATGTTACTTTCATGCATGAGGTCGTCGGTGGCTTGTTAGCTGGGGGTGCCAGGGGAGAAAAACATCGTGGGGACAAAAGTGTTCTGTGAAGTGGTGGGGTTACCCTGAGCTCGAATGTTTCCCTTTCTCTCTCTCTTACTTCATTTCGCTCCGTGTCCGTCTTTCCGTGCCTGCGCTTATCTGTCCGCTTATCGGCCCTTTGTATCTCCTTCTCTTAGCCCGCGCTGCTTGTTGGTTGGTGCACTTGTCCTCCCCTCTCCTGCCCTCCCCTGCCCTCCCCTGCCCTCTCCTGTCCTTCCATGTTTCCCTTCAGTTCTTCGCGTTAACCACAGATTACATCCACACAGATGACATCCACACAGATGACATCCACACAGATGACATCCGCACAGATGACATCCGCACAGATGACATCCGCACAGATGACATCCGCACAGATGACATCCGCACAGATGACATCCACACAGATGACATCCACACAGATGACATCCACACAGATGACATCCACACAGATGACATCCACACAGATGACATCCACACAGATGACATCCACACAGATGACATCCGCACAGATGACATCCACACAGATGACATCCACACAGATGACATCCACACAGATGACATCCGCACAGATGACATCCACACAGATGACATCCACACAGATGACATCCACACAGATGACATCCACACAGATGACATCCACACAGATGACATCCACACAGATGACATCCGCACAGATGACATCCGCACAGATGACATCCACACAGATGACATCCGCACAGATGACATCCACACAGATGACATCCACACAGATGACATCCACACAGATGACATCCACACAGATGACATCCACACAGATGACATCCGCACAGATGACATCCGCACAGATGACATCCGCACAGATGACATCCGCACAGATGACATCCACACAGATGACATCCTCACAGATGACATCCGCACAGATGACATCCGCACAGATGACATCCACACAGATGACATCCACACAGATGACATCCACACAGATGACATCCACACAGATGACATCCACACAGATGACATCCGCACAGATGACATCCGCACCGCCAGACAATTTCCCACCCGCGTTTTTCTCTTCGCAGGTCTTGGTGTGCAAGTTGGAGCGAACAGATCGCGCGTCCCCTCTGGAGACCGCCGCCGCCGTGGCGGCGCACATGGACGGCACTGGTGGACCGTTGCCGGAGGACCCCCTGGGTTTCGGAGCCGCCGCCGCCGCCGTCGCCAGTGGCAGCAGCTCCCCCGGTGTCTCACAGCCGCCGCCATCGTCACCACCGTTGCCGCCGCTGCGAGAGGACGATACTCTGCGTGTGGCTATCGAGACTCGTCATGGCGGATCGAGGACCATTCGCAATCTGCACCAGCTTGTGGAGGCGTGTCATAGAATGGACTGGAAAGAGGGTGAGGTGCCGTAAGGGGTGTTTTGCTTTGGAGTGTGGGGGATAGAGGGGCTTTTGAAGGGCGGGAGGGCGGGGGGGGGCCCTTTGGGCGGGGGGCCCAGCTGGCCTCCACATCTAATTTCCCCTCTTCCCTCTTCCGTAGCCAACTACCGTTACTGCCCTCGTCCCCTCTTCCTCTTTCCCGATACATCTCCTCCCCTCTTCCTGACAGACCCTCTCCCCCCTTTTTCCCGTGTTCCTGTGTATCGTCAGTGGCCGGCTTCCGTCGTGTCGTGTGCCGGCCGCTCATCACGTACGACACCCCGCAACTGTACGGCCTCGACCGGTTCCGCGCCACTGTTGCTGCCGTACGATCGTCCCATATATTGGTTGCGGTGCACGGCGCCGGCGCCGCCAACGGCTTTTTCCTGCGTCCCGACGGCGACCGACAGGCTGCCGCGGTGCTGGAGGTTCGTCCGTGTGGTTTCGGTAGCGGCTTTCCTTGGTGGGTGGATGTGCACATGGCGCTCAACTTGCCACGACTAGGGGATGCGGTGAGTGCAGGGGAGGGAGGGGGAAAGGGAGGGGGAGAGGGAGGGAGGGAAAGAGCTGTGGGTCGGTTTGGACCGACCCAACCGCCTATTTAAGAGGCCTTAAGAGGCGCTCCGGACGCAGTTTTCACACTTTAACTCAGGGTTATGCAGCAGCACCCGGCCGGTCGAATTGAGTCGCCTGATGAGGGCCCTTCCTGTTCCTATCTGGGAACTCCTGCAAAATCTGGGAACTCCTGCAAAATCTGGGAACTCCTGCAGAATCTGATTTAATAAAAATACATATTTACAAATACAAAGATCATGCAAACAATTCCCCCTTCTAATTTAACGCACTTTTACTGAAATATATGAATGTTCCCACCATCGTCGTGTCTCATCATTTGACTTAGGTTCGTTTTCACGCCTACAACATCGAAGACCCTACCCAGTGCAGCCCTTCAGATTGGGAGCTCGATATCCGTACAGGCACAGGCGCCGTAAACACCCGCGCAGGCGGCGGCCACTTCGCACGTGACCAACACCTAACGTTGCGTCCCGACGGTTTCATGGCGATGGTACGGCACGTGGCCAGCATGCTCCGGAACCGGGAGGCGTACGACATGGCTAAGGCGGCCAACCGGCTGCATGGCTACGCCCTGCCAGGGGAGGCGGGGGAGGGCGGGGAGGCGGGGAAAGGGAGCTCGGGTTTGTGGGGGAGGAGCGGGGGGGTAGTGCTGGGGCCGCTGGGGATGGGTAATTTTACGGAGCACGCGGCGTCGGGTACAGCGGTGTTTGTGCTGTCCCCTGAGTGAAGGAACGGTGGAAAAAGAAATGAGGGAGCGGGGGTTCTATGGGGTTGGGAGGAGAGGAGGGATGAAGGCGGTGGTTGTGGTTTGCGTAGGGAGCGCGAGGGACATGGAAAAAGAGCTGGGAATTTCGCACCGAGTGGAATTTCGGGATGGGAAGTTCGCACCGAGTGCCGAGATAAGGTAAGGGCGGATAATGGTGGAAGTGATGCTGTTTGGGGTTCAAGGGTGGGTAGCTGGCAACAGTGACCCCCTCGACCCGCCCAGAAGAGTTGTATGTGCGGCGGGCGCGGTGATCAGTGAAATCATATGACGAAAAAACATGACGAGATGACGAAGTGCACCGGATGCGAGGAAGCGCGATTGGCCGATGTGTGTCTTGGAACGCTTGGAGGTCATGAAAGGGCTTTAAATCAAGGGTGAGGTACAGATTATGGCTGCGGACTGCGTTTGACGCGCTGATGGCGGTTGCACTGATGAAGGCTTCGGAAAAAGAAAAGCGATTTCCTTATGTTAACTTGTATGACAGTATGGAAACTTGTGTGGGCAGGTATACTATGTTCTGCCTGATGTGCCCTGTGCACATCAGGCAGAACATCTGCGCTTCCTGGATGCTAACTTTTCCAAGAGCTCCAAAACATAACCCACCGGCCTGAGATAATGTACCCCTGGCTGTCATGGCTTGTGTAATGACTGTTATTTTTCGGGATTTTGTCTCGCCTGGGGTCCAGCACTCCAGCACCCGAGTGCCGATCTGCCGTTCGACCAGTAGTACTAACGGAAGTAACTGCCATTTTCGTTTGCGCCTAAGCACGCGGATTTCGCAGCAGTTGTGCCCGGGTTTATGGTCAAATAAACCGACGGCTTTGCCTCGTGTGAACTTCGGCTGCCGAAGATTTAAACGCCACAGTTCCGTCCGGTCGGCTTGTGTTCCATCTGTTTTAGATATAGGATTACTTCTTACCTTCTAAGTGCAAAATCTGTAAACCATCCCTCAGATTTATAGTTTGGTAGCTGTATTGGAAATGGAGCAGCAACAAGGCGGTGGTCCACCTCCGGACCTAGACTCTCTGCTGATGGCATGCCTCTCCAATAACACCGAAGTAAGCCATGGTGGTGCCTATTTCAACAGGGGCACGATGCTTACCTAGCTTCTGCCTTTTATGGGCGGCGGCCTGTCGGCGATGAAAATGCCGGGTAATGACCAACAGGGTTGTCTCGTGATAATTTGTTATTCGTTTTTATAGACAGGGAGATTCTCATGACCAGTAAGTCAATAGCACACTCGCTATAAATGACGGTTGGTGCGGTCGGTCGCATCACGCGCTTCATGGCACGGGGTAACCTCTTTGAGGCGCCTGTTTCACCCAGACGGCCCTAGGCCAAGACATGTATTTCATGTTTCCTTAACTCTTGACACGCATTTGATTATTCTTCAGTTGCGGCTTGACCCAGCTGCCCATGAGTACTCCTCTTGCGACTACACACCCCTTCCCGGAATTTGAACCATCGCTGATGCAGCGCCACTAAATCACCAAAACGTTAACGACGTCTGAATACTTCGCACCCACAGTTTTTCCCACCAAATTGAAAATGGCATCCTTGTGCTCACAGGCCATTAAGGCGGCCGAGGCAGCCCTGAAGCGCATGACGGTATCCCCAACCCTTCTCCCTGAGCTGCTGGCACGGGCCACCGGCAGTCCCTCGGCGGAAGTACGGCAACTGTCTGCCGTACTGCTTCGTAAGGCTGTCACGAAACACTGGACCAAGCTGTCTGATCCGGTGAGGCCATTGCTTATTGCTTATTGTTGCTGCTGCTGCTATTCCTGGTCGTGGTGGTGGTGGTGTGGGTGGTGGTGGTGGTGGTGTGGGGGGTGGTGGTGGGATTCCTTCCCTTCAAGGTCTGAACCTCCGCACAAATGAGAGAGGGAGAGAGAGAGATGTGGTTTCGGAGCGCTGCCTAGCCAGGATAAAAAAAGGAAAGCCCATGCAGCGGATCCCCTGTCTTCCCTCCCTCCACATGCCCTACCCTACCCTACTGTGCCGTACCCTGCCGTACCCTGCCGCACGTAGGATTGCAGGGGACCTTCGGATGATTTGCGTCCTAAAACCGTTATATGTTAAATATTGAACTTCAGATTAGGATTAGAACGAGGTAGGCAAGTTAAAGGTGAAACAAAGTCGGTTCGACCTGAAACTTTTTGAACGTGACACCTCCGTCACAGGTACTTCCAACGGTTTGGGACTTAGTCCCTAGCTTTCGCGAAATGAGGTGGTGGCTGCCAACCAAACTCATGTGACGGCCCAAGCTTGACACAGATTGCAGAACGATCACAAACCACACATTAATAAAAACGTGAAGCCAGCGCAACATGAAGCCCCGCCCTCGAATGGCAAAACCCTGGCCGGGTTTTCCTTGCTTTTCATCAGCTGCCATAACAGCTTTTCAAACTATAATAGGTCGAGCGTACGACATTAAGACGTTATAATCCGTCCTAAATGGTCGTTCTAAATCAATATATATAATTTTTATTAAAATTTTAGTTGGACCATGCAACCCTAGCCGTACGGTACCCAAACCCTCTTCCCCAACCCACGCACAAAAACACAAACACACACGCAGGACCGCGCCCACATGCAAACTGTCCTCTTGGACCGCCTGGTTTCGGAGCCCTATCACCCGGTTCGCCGTAGTCTTGGCCACCTGGTGGGTGTGGTGGCGCGCTACTCCGTCCCCCGGGGCGAGTGGCCCGGGCTGTTGGAGTTCCTAGGGCGGTGCAGCGGCAGTGGGGATGCCGGTCACAGAGAGGTGGCGCTCACATTGCTGGGGTCGCTGGCAGAGCATGTGGGTGAGTGCGCGAACGTGTGTTTTGAATAATTTTTTTTGTTTTAGCCATACGGTACGGGAACAAGGGCCGAAGTGGGGAACACGAGTGCGTCTTGGGGGGGGAGGGGGAGAGGGGTGTGTGTTTGTGTATGCGTGCCGGTGTGTGTGGGGTTTTGGCGGGTGGATGGCTGTGGGCTTTTGTGAGAGGGGGATTGGGGGGGAGAGGGCGGGAGGAGGAGGGGTGATGTGGGTTCGTGTGGGTTTGGCCTGGCAGGGGAGGGGAGGGGAATGGGCGGGAAGTTTTTATGATGACGGAAAAAGGTTTCGGAAGCAGCTGACCCCCGGATCCCTCCGCGGCTTAGGTGCTGGTTTAAGGGTGGGAGAAGGAGGGGTTGATGTGGGTGCATTGTTTTGTCCTGACTGGCAGGGGTTCGACGGAGGGGTCGCGGGTGAGGGAGTCAGGGCGAGTGGGTGAGGGTGCGGACTTCCTTTCCGGAGCTGTGGATACCGACATCCTTTCCCCCCTGCTCCCTCCTCCCCATTGTCTGTGTTTCGTCTTCCCCCTTCCCTCCCCCCCCTCCCAACCCCTCTCAACCTCCCCCCCCCTACCTCCTACCTCTCCATCCCCCCCAACCTCCTATCCCTCCCCCCAGCCGATCACCTGGCGGATCACGTCCCCAGTTTGATTCAGGTGGTGGGCTCCGGGCTGCGGGACGGGTCGTTGGAGGTCCGCCGGGCGGCAGTGCGGGTGATGGAGCCCCTGGCGGCCCTGGTGGCGGGGAGGGGCTCGGGGGACGTGGAGGCATTCCACGGACTGGTGGCGGCACTCATGGAGGTATGTATGTATGTATATGTATTTGAGGGTTGAAGTACGGGAGGAAGGCTGGTTTTCGGAGGGGTGTTTGGGACGTGGGGTGAGGTGCGGTTGGGTGGGGTGAGGTGCGGTTTCATAAACGGGCAACAAACATTCCACGATCGAGGTTTTCCCATCCGCAGGTTAACTTGGCACAGCTAACATCTCGTTCCGGCACATATATACCCCCCACCCCCTCATCCACTCCCCTTTCTCTGCCCCCCTCCCCTCCCCCATACACACATACACCAGGTCGCGAGTGCCGCCCACACCTCCCGCACCGACGACGAGACTCTGGTGCTGTGTCTCCAGCTGCTGGTGGAGCTGTGCGAGAGCTCTGCGCCCCTGCTCGGGAAGCACCTGGTGGTGGTGGTGGGGCTGGCCATGAGGGTGGGCACCGACTCCAGGGGGGAGCTGGCGACACGGGAGGCGGCACTGGAGGTGAGTGTAGGGGGGTTCGGGGGGAGGTGAGGGTGCTTATGTGTGTGTATGTGTATGTGTAAATGTGCGTGTGTATGTATGGGTGTGTATGTGTACGTGTACGTGGGCATGCGAAGGGGTAGGCGGGGTGGCTGGAAGTGGAGGAGGTGGAGGCGGGAGTGGGGTATTGACAGAGATTGACCCAGGGTGAGGTGGGGGGTGGGGGTGGTAGGCAGAGACGGGGGGAAGAGGGGGACTGTGTTTTCTCAGGGTGTTGTACACAGCTTGCACGACAACGAGAAACTGAAAAAACCGTCTCCCGCCGCGTTCTTGGCGGTGTCTTTGGCGGTGACTCACTGCGGGCATTGCCGCTGCCGATTGCCCTCCTGGGCCTTACGCTTATTCCAGATGATTGCCCTTCAAGGCATTTCTTTAGAAGCATTTTGAACATAAAGAACAATTTTTTAAATTGCACCCCGAACCCTCCTTCCCCCCCCCTCCCCACTGCAACCCCCGCGCGCAGGTCATTCATTGGGCTGCTCGGTGAGTGGTTGGGGTTGAGGGTGTGTGCGCATGTATGTGCGTCGGTTTGTGTATGTGCCGGTGCATGTGCGGGTTTCCTTGGGGGCTAGGGTTTTGCACATGACGAGGGGTGTGGTATCAGGGGTGTTGCGTCGTACATCGTACATCGTACACCAGCCCTTAAACCCCCTAAAGAATTAAAAAGCCGGCCGGTTTTTCCATTTTCCCCAACCCCCTTCCCCAACCCGGCAGATGCTAGTTGATGTTTTTGGTATTTTTAAAATTCACACGCGATATCTGTTTTCCTTCCCGCCTTTTTTCTTTGTGTCTTTCTTGTCTGCCGTACAGCTACAAGCCCAAGCAGTTTGGACGAAACAAGGATTTGGTTCGTCAGGTGGTCGGGGCCTTATGCCACATGGCCGCGGAGTCCCCTCCCGCGGATCTGGATCCCGACGACGAGGGAACTCTGCCCCCAGCGAAATTGGCCACGCAGGTGACTAAAGGGGTTGTACGGCATCAACATCAGTACCGGCATCATGGCGCCCGCCAACTAACCAACATATAAACCGACAACCACTCCCTATTTCTTTACCTGTTGTTTGTCTACCTAACCCGCCTCCATTTCCCTCAGGCGCTGGACGCCGTGGCCCTCTACCTGCCGGCTCAGAGCGTATTTCCCGGGGTGCGTGTGTGCAGGTGTATCTGTAGGTGTATCTGTAGGTGTATCTGTGATGGGGAGTTGGGAGTTGGGTTATGGGGGTGGAGGTGGGACGGCGGGGGGTTGTGCGTTTGTGTTGCTCCGAGACCTTCAGTCGCCTCTCCAGGACTCTGGACGCTCTCGTTAGGCAAGTCGTTGCTCGTCCACTCGGGGGGTTATACTCGCGCCGTGTGGTGCACCCCTACCTTTTCGGCACATACCTACTTGCCGTACACCGGCTGGCCGTACACTGGGGGATGGAGGGAAAAGGGGAAAGGACTTGTACCAGCGGTGGGCATGTATCTGCATGTATGGTTGCCTGGCTACGTCCCAACTTGACTACACAACAGCAATGTCGTTTGTTGCCGTACTGTTCAATATATATAGTGTGGCAATATCAACGACGTGGCAATATCAGCAATATCTGCCAACATGGCCATGTGATTAAGTTTTCTCTCGCACCAACCGACCAACCAACCAACCGAACAAACAAATAACATGATATGTTTTCGTGTCTTTGCGTGTTGCTACTGTGCGGATGTGTGCGTGTGTGTGTGTGTGTTTCGGTCGGCCGGCCGCAGGTGCTATCTTTTGCCCGCGAGGCGCTGTCCTCCCCCCAGGCCCCCCACCGGGAGGCCGCACTCACCTCCCTGGCTGTCGTATTCGAAGGATGTGCGGAGCCGCTCAGGAAGCGACTCAAGGTGGGCTGAGGAGGGAAAGGGGGAGGGGGGGAAGGGGTAGTTGAAGGGGGTTAGATTGCGGGGTTAGGTGGGAAGGTAGGGAAGTGGGGGGGGATACGGCATGAGGGAAGGTTGGTGTTTTCTGGTCAGTCATGAGCTGTGGGGGAGCACTTGTGTTGGTTCTGTTTGGTGTACAGGATTTATTATTGGAATGAGCATTTCCATTTTCAGCTAGGTTAAAAACCTTAGATAATTAACAAATATTAATAGGGCAAGTTGATAGGCAGAATCAAACATATGTAGAAAATTCGGAAGTAGAGATTGATTTGGTTAGCTCAGATACTTATCCTACCTTTATTCAGAAGTTCAATAACCTAACTAAAAAAATGTATGTCGACAACCCGTCTTGCACCTTTTGTGTGACGTGCGTCGTCATGCAAGATGATATTGATGTTGATGATGTTGATGATGATAATAATGATTCCCCGCCACCCCAAACATACATATAGACAGACAGACTGCACCACCGCCGTGTATCAGTGATGGCCTGGCTGTGCTCCTTGGCCACACTATTTTTCCAGCTTAGTTCATCAACTGGACTCACACAAACACAACACGGCTACTCACGAAAGCACGTCTCCCCTCACCTCCCCCCCCTTCAACAACAACAACAGGACGTGATGCCGCTGCTGCTCACGGGTCTGCGGGACAGTGACCCACGGGTCCGTGGTGCCGCGGCTTTCTCCATGGGCATGGCGGCGGAGTTCCTGCAGCCCGACGTGGTCGAGTACTACAAGGAGGTACGACATCGCGCGGGACTGTCTGAAACCCTTGAAGTCTCTCATGGAAATGAAGTAATTCATTTCCTTGGCTAGCCCCTTTGTTTTGCTTTTGCGTTAATGTATGGGTGCCCACAATCCTGTCAATCCTGTCAATCATCAATACTGATTAATACTGATGATGCCCTCTTACAATCCTGGTGCTCCATCTGCTGCTGATGTTGGATTGCAATGCCATGTTTTCGAGGTGTGCTTGCTATAACCCTAACTTGCCCCTGCACCCTACCCAACCACCTCTCTTCCCTTGTACGCTTCTCCCCTCCCCCCCGTCCCCCTCCTTGCCCCCTTTGTGCGCCCGCAGGTCCTCCCGCTGCTGTTCCCCCTTATGGTGGAGGGCAATGCGGATGTGTGTGAGAGGACGTGTTACGCTCTGGACACTTTTTGTGAGGCGCTGGAGGTATGTGCGTGTATGTAGTATGTGAGATGTGTGAAACAGGGGGGTGTATCTTCGCCCGTCGCAGCTACCCTGCGAAACCCTGCCTTCCCCGGTATTTCGGGGCACCCTCATCCAGTCACCCTAGTCAACTTCTCAGTGGATCGCTCAGGCTCCGCACCCACCACCAGCATCCAACGGAATCTGCCGGGTCGACAGCGGCCCAACTCCGTTCCTGGTCGGCTCGCAGGTTTACTTTATCCCAGGTCACCACCGTCCATCAACTAGGGGCGCAATGCCTTCCACCATCGGAAGGACTTTTGACCCTAATGGGAATCGATCCCGGGATCTCCGGGGGGCAATGGTCGCGCCTTACCAGTAGTGCCAAACCCTAGTGCCAAACCCTAGTATGTATGTATATATGAGTGTATTTTTGCGTGTGTGCGCTTGCAGCTCCCAAGCGTACGGCGTTATGCTCTGGTTGCGGTTTCGGAGCCCAAGAGCCTTTCTTTGATACCCCCCTCCCGCCTTTCCCGGCACCAACCAACTCTTGTGTTTATCCGTACAAGCAGGGTCCGGAGATCGTGCCGTACTTGGAGCAGTTGGTCTCGGGGCTGTGTACCGTGCTCGGTGTCACAGGACCTGCCGTACAGGAGTTGGCGCTGTCAGCACTGGCCTCGGTGGTTTCGGCGGCTGGCAAGGAGTTCGAGCCGTACCTTGGTGAGACGTGTGACACGTGTGTGTAGTACGTATACGTGTGTGTGTATGCGTGCGTGTTTATGCGCGCGCGCGCGCGTGTGTGTGTGTGTTTTATGGGGGAAAGTAGAGGGTAAAAAGTCCCCCAATCCCCCTCTCCCTTTCCCCCCTTTCTTCCACGCGGCCATGTCTCGTGATGCAATACACGTTGTACATGCCCCCGTCCGATCACCCAACCCAGGAGCAGTTGCATGGTGTCGTGTGGCTAGAAACTGCTATGTTATCTGTTGTTGACATAACAAATCTTATATTGCCGCCTCCCTCCGCCCTCCCTCCCCCCCTTCCTTCTCCTTTCCTTTGCAGCAGCTTCACTCGCTCGTGATTTGTCTTTTCCCCCTTCCCTCCCTCCCCCCTTCCCTCCCTCCCCCTCTTCCGGGCAGGTCCCCTACTGCCCGTGCTGCACCACTTCTTGTCCGCTACATCCCCTGGACTGCTGGCGTGTCGGTGCCGCGCCACCGAGACAGCGGGCTTGCTGTTCGAGGGGGTGGGAGGGGGGTGTACGGCTCTGCGCGCCTTAGCGCCGGCACTCGTGGAGTTTGGACTACAGGTGTGGCCGGGGGTGGGGGGAGGTCCGTGTGATTTTGTGTGTATGTATGTGCGTGTACGTGTGTGTATGTGTATTGGAGGGGGGTTATGTCCAAGAAGTAGAGAGTCAGAAAGGGGAAGGTGGGGAATATGCTGGGGGCAGACACGTCCCCGTCCAGCCCCCTGCAACCCTCAATCCACGTGGGACTTCTCAGGGTTTTTAGGGTTTTGGGGATTTCCACCCCCACCCCCCGGGCCCGCCGGTTACCCCCCAATTGCCATTCCATCTCACGTCGTCATTACTCGCACCCCTCGAAAAGCTTTTGCCTGTGTGGGTTTGAAAAAGGTTTTCCGTCGGTTGCCGTTTTGTTACCTCCGACAGTGCACGTCATCAATTGCGATAACATTAACAAAAATGGTGGGACGAGCCGCCAACAGTGTAACAATCCCCATCAGAACAAAAAGAATATAAACTCGCGTGAATACGGTTTTGTCTGGGGTTTGCGGATATTCCTTTCCCCTGACCTTACCTCCCCCCCCCCGGGGTCCCCCCCTGGAGCTTAGGGTTTTAAATTGGACAGCTCGGAGCTTCGGGAGTACGGACACGGCATGTTTGCGTGCATTGCCAAGGTGCGTGTGTGTATGTGTGTGTATGTGCGTATGTGTGTATGTATGTGTTTGAGAGGAGGGTTAGGTGAATGCGGGGGGAGTGCGGCCTGGATTTGTAAAGGGGGAAGATGTTTGTTGGACAAGGAGGAACGGAAAGATTTGGGTTTTTCCAGGTTAACTAGGGGGAAGGGGAGGGAGAGGGAGAGGGAGAGGGAGAGGGAGAGGGAGAGGGAGAGGGAGAGGGAGAGGGAGAGGGTAATGAGCGTCTAGAGATTTTACTTTATGAGGACAGCTTGCGGATGTCCCCACCGGATGAATATCCCCTAACCCTCCCGAGTATTGCCCCTGCCCGTGCGTGTCGGTGTCTATGTGTGTTGTGTATGTTGTGTACGGCACGGCAACGCTGGTCCCGCCGTACCCTCTGCGGCCAGGCGCTAGGCGCGGACTTTGTGCCGTACCTGCAGTACACCGTACCGCTGGCGCTGGAGTCCATTGCTCAGAACGACGGCATGTGGGACGATGATGATGATGATGATGATGAGGGGGAGAGTGAGGAGGAGGAAGAGGGGGAGGACGAGGGTGCCAGGAAGAGGGCGCAGCAATTTAGCATTAGAACGGGTAAGTTCACGGCCCCCATGCCCCCTCGTGTGTATGTATGTATGTCCGTCCGTCCGTCTAACTGTCTGTGTTAGGGTTTTAGGGCGGCCCGTTTACTTGCTGCGCTCGCCGTCCGGTGTTTGCCGATTGTCGTACAGGTGTGTTGGACGAGAAGTGCGCCGCCACAGCGGCTCTAGGGTTGTACGCCCAGGCCGCTCCCGCCGCCTTCATGCCGTACATGGAGCAGGCGTTGACGGCGCTGACTAAGTCACCGGGGGGAATGTGCCGGTGGGTGAAAGGGTCTGGTTTGATTTTGTTTTTGGGGGGAAAGGGGGCCCGGGGATCACATGATGATGCAAGAGACTCAAAAATGATGAACTGCCTCAAACTACTTCTTAAGTATTCGAAACTGCCCCGCCCCTAGGTAGTGAGTCCTAAGCTCCAAGATGGGGTCATATCGACCCGTGGTTCCGGATGCGGTGGAGCCCCATCATCATCATCATCACTATGCTACCGACATTTTGTCTGGTGTAGTGTTTATCCGGTCTTGTACGATTGTGTATCCTTGACATCCTTGACATCGAGCTGTACATACTGTATGTATATCTCTTATCTATCTATCTATCTATCTATAGATAGGTAGATAGATGTTTTTTTATAAGTTTAAGTGTATATATATAATACATATATATACATATATATATGTATACATATATATGTATATATATACATATATATACATACATATACATGTATATGTACATATATATACATATATATACATATATATATACATATATATATACTGGAGGTATTGAAAGGACATGCTAGTGGTCGTCAAGGTCAGGTCTGGCTTTGTCACTTTGTACCTTACACTCGAGAAGTGAATAAGATATGGACCCGGAAGCTCAACTTCTGAGGCAACGTAGCAGTTAAGCAGCGGTTTGGAAGGCGGGGGGGAGGGGGGGAAGGAAAGAGGGCTGGTTGACGAGAGGTCAAGGTGTTGCGGTTTTGTTGTTGCGATGTAAATTGGGGTAACCTCCCCCCCCTTCTAACCCTCTCTCTCTCTCTTCCCCTCCCCCGTCACCTTTGCCGCTACGTGTCGGGGGAATAGCTTTTTGTTGTACAGTAGGTGGGTGCATGCCAGAGCAGGACAGCGGGGGGAGAAGCAGGAGAAGCTATTCGAGGAGATAGCATCTTTGGGCTTGCACGCGCTGCTTCAGATTGTACGGATGTGTACGACCATGTACGGCCTTTTGGTTTATGACATGTGCTCTCTGCTCTCGTTGTCTCTCCCCACCCCCACGGAAAGGTACTTCCACGAGGAAGTGCGGGTGCAGGCGGCGGAGGCGCTGCCTCGCCTCGTACTGGCAGTGTACGGCACATGTCCGCCGCCAGCTGGAGCAACTGGCGCCGCCGCCATTACTCCGCAAGTACGGCACGTGCTCGACGTGGCACTCCAGGTACGCGGCTGCAAATACACACACATACACACACACGCATCCGTATCCCTTCTCCCCAACTCCTCTCCTCACTCCCCCCCTTTTCCCCCTCCTTCGCCACTCGGCTGCTTCCTGACTTCGCGTGTGTGTATTTCCCCCCTTCCCCCCCTTACGTCTGGCGTACATCAGTCTATATCCTCCTTGGCATCAGCTTCACTCGTTCACGTGGTGGTTCGTCTCCCCACTTTCATCTCCTTGATAATAAGCCGTATTACTCTGCCGGCTAGGGGCTGTAGGCTTGAGGTCTTTTCCTCTGTGGAGTCCGGAGCTGCTTTTTTCTTTGTACCCCCACACCCCTGGCGCCCGGACATGCTCACCCCTAGCTGCTCGGGCACATCATTCCTTTCTTCGCCATGGAGAAGTCGGCAGCTGGTGCTTTTCGACTCGTGCATCTTTGCATCTTGTACGCGATCATCGACCCTCGTGCAATTCCTCGAATTCACCAACTGCCACTATCGTCGTTTTCGTGTAGAGGTAGTATTTGTTTTCCTTACCGCCCTCCCCAACCGCAGGAGTTGACTCGCGCGCTGAACGACTCCGACCCAGGGGTCACAACGGCGGCGCTGCAGGTACGATCTGTACGTCAGTACGGTGTTTCGTACAAGGATTGAATAATAGACGGAATCTCCCCTTCCCCCCTCCTCCCCCCCTTCTGATCAGTTCTGCTTCTTGTACACCCTTTCCTCGGCAGCAGCTTCACTCGTTCGTGGTTCGTCTTTCCCCCCGCGTCCACTTCCCTCTTCCCCCCTTTCCTCCACTCCCCTCTTCCCCCCTTCCTCCACCCCCCTCCACCCCTCGTCCACCCCCCTCCAGGCCCTGACGGTGTTGGTGAAGCAGCTGGGCGTGCAGGCTCTAGGGGGGGAGGTGATGCAGCAGCTGGCGGAGGCTGTCACCTCGGTCTTGAAGGGGGAGGCGCCGTGCCAGGTGCGCGTGTATGTGTGTATGTATGCATGGACGGATGGACGGATGGATATGATGGATACCTCTATATCTGTGTGTGTGTGTGTGTGTCGTGACGAAGTGAGCCGTGAGAGGGAAGTGTTGGGAGATGTTACGTGGGCGAAACTGTGCAGTAACTGTGTAGAGATGGTTCCGGCAATGGATATCGCTGTGGCCGAGGGAGTGTCGTTTGTGGCCGTGTGAATGTGATGTGAGTGAGCGTGTGAGTAATATGAGTAATAACTCTTCGCATCAGCCCCCGGTGCCTGGGTGTGCTTGCGACTGTGCGACTCTGTGCGACTCTGTATCGCCAACATGGCCTCAACCCCCCCCCTCTTTAGGCTGTTTTTGACGAAGAGGACGACGATGGCGACGACGGCGACGATGAGGCCGGCGGCGGCGGTGACGAGGAGGAGGAGCTCCTGGCGGCGGCGACGGAGCTGCTGCCGGTGCTGGCGGCGGCGGCGGGGCCTGACGCCTATGTCCCCGTGTTCCGGTCCTCCCACCTGCCGGCGCTCCTCCACCGGCTGAGGGCCCGGCAGCCTGCGGACCTTCGCAGTGTCGCGGTGGGGGGGCTGGCGGAGGTGGCGGAGGTGCTCAAGGTGCGTCTGTATGTGTGGCTGTGCCTGTGTGTGCCTGTGTGTATGTGTGCGCGTCCGTGTGTGTTACACGTTGAGTTGCGTTACACTCCGGAGGTGTGAGCGGGGTGAGGAGCTGGACGCAGAGGAGAGGGCCCCCTGGATGAGCTGAGGGGGGTACGGGGGGCCACGGGGGGGAGAACGGGGGGGGAGAAACGGCCGTGCCATATCGGGGGGGAGAAGGGGAGCGTCACGATTCGCGAGTGGACGGCCAGCACTGCATATATGTAGGGTGGGGGCTGAGGGTAAATATGTATGCGGGTCGAGGTTACGTTGGAGGGAAATTCTGAAGTTGGGTTTGTGATGGATTCTGCGCATCGCAATTACAAAATGGAATGGAAAAGATTTTCAGCTTGCTGCTAAGTAACCACGTGAACCTCTAAAGCCCATTCGCGGCGGGCCTCACCACGCACACATACACATACACACATACACACGCGCACACACGCACGCACACACACATGCACACACATATATACATACATACACACGCGCCCCCCTTCGCTCCGCAGTCCCACCTGACCCCGCACCTGGAGGAGCTGATTCCGCCGCTGTTGAGAGAGCTGCGTTGCTCCGAGCCCATCAACCGACAAAACGCCGCGTTCTGTGTGGGCGTGTTGGCGGAGGGGTGCGGGGGGCCGGCAATGGCGCCGCATTACCCCAAGCTGCTGCAGGTGCGCATGTATGTGTGTATGTGTGTGTGATGAGGGGTGAAGGGGACGGTGAGAAGGTTGATAACACGGGGCGATGGGGGGATGGGGTAAAAGGGGATCATTAAGGTGCTGTGAGGCCGGTGCTGCTCCCGTGTTGAGTCCAGTTGGGGCCGCCATTGGGGCCGTCAGCTCAACTCAGCGATCGCAAACCCGAGCTGGACTTACCCGTAGTAGTCCAACGGGGCAGGGGTCACCGATTTCAAATATTTGGACCAACTCCTCATTCCCTCCTCCCCCCAGGGACGTCCCAGCACACACACATCTGAATGAAAGTCATGCACACACTGGTTCCCCGTGGGAGAAACTCGCTATTCCCCTAAAACCCCAATTTGGGCGATTTGGGCGTGGTGGCAGCTCTTCTTTACCCTGAACAAGACAATTCGTGACACAATGTCGTAATTCGCCTCCTCACTTTCCCCCCTCTCACACCCTCCCCAATGTATGTATGTATGTATGTATGTATGTATGTATGTATGTATGTATGTATGTATGTATGTATGTATGTATGTATGTATGTATGTATGTATGTATGTATGTACGCGCATGCAGGCTCTCCACCCGCTGTTCGCCGCCACCGAGAACGACGGCGTGCGGGACAATGCCCTGGGCTGTGTGGGTCGCATGATGTCGGCTGACGGGGGTGCCGGTGCCGCCCTGCTGCCCCTGGAGGCGGTGTTGCCCGTGTTCCTGGGAGCGCTCCCGCTGCGGGAGGACCTCAAGGAGGCGGGAGCTGTGTTTGGGGCGCTGTGCGGCCTCCTTACAGGTAGGGGAGGTAGGGTGTGTGGGGGGGGTGGGGGGTGAGGGGGGGAGAGATGCCCGGAGAGGAGCTGGCGTGATTGGTTAACACAGGAAATAATGGGGGTTGAGCAAGGAGTGTTTGGAGCCGGCAGCGCATCGGAATGGCCCCTGCTACCCGCAGCTATAGCCCTCGCCATCCCGACCCGTTCCTGTGTTCATCCTTTTGCCGTGTTTCTATCGTCAACCCTAAGACCTTTGTGGGATACATTCGTAGCTTAGGGCTGTTGGATGGCAGACGAGGAACGGAATGGAGTGGGGTGGAGGGGGGGAAAGGAGAGGGAAGGGGGAACGGGGCAAAGCAGGGGGCTTAGGAGGCTCCGTGTTGTGATGTAGCTGTGTGCGTCGGGGCCTGGGGGGCACCGCGTGCGGTGGTCTTTCTAAAAGCTGTCGTCACCCTCTCCCCACTGCCCCCTCATCAGCCCACTCACCACACCTCGTGCGCCCCGTGCCTCCATCTTGTTCCCCCTCCCCCCTCCTCCCCCCTCCCCCCTCCCCCCTCCCCCCTCCTCCCCCCTCCCCCCTCCCCCCTCCCCCCTCCTCCCCCCTCCCCCCTCCCCACCGCCTTCAGGTGATCAGGCTCAGCGTGTGGCGGGTTTGGTGCCCCAGGTGGTGGCGGCATTCGGTGCAGCGGCGGTGCAGCAGCCGCCCCTACCCCAGGAGGTCGTGGTGCAGGTAGCGAGGACGCTGGCGGCGCTGACGCAGCAGTTCCCCGGACCCATGGGTCCGTTGGTGGCGGCGCTGCCGGCGGAGCAGCGGGCGGCGCTGGAGGCGGCTGCGGCGCTGCCGGCGGCTGCTGGGCTGTGAAGCTAGTCGGGGTGGATGTCGTGTTGGCCGTGTGGAATGGAGGGGTTGGGGGTCGCGTGGAAGAGGGTAGACATGCAGCATGTAGTGGTTGGGGGGGAAGTTAACGCGGCGAGGTGAGGGCGCTCTGGGGCAGTGATGATGATGATGATGATGATGATGATGATCGACTGGAGGTGATGCGAGAACGTACTGTGATGATGATGCGGATTACACTGCGGATTAGAACAAAAAATGTTTTATTGTTGCTGAGTTGATTTCAGTGCGCGTAGCGGTGCGGCGCAGGCTTATTAGCTGTGTGCGTGTGTGTTGTATTGGAAGTTAATCTTTGTTGGGATTAAGGTGAGGGACCTAGCGTGGTGTAGTACTGGCGTTGCATTTGCTACGTTTGGAGGTTATGAGTGTCTGTAGTGGTAGTGATGGTCGTGGTAGTGGCTTGGTGTTGCATAATTGACATGCAGCAGCAGCAGCAGCGGCCGTGCGGTGAGAGCCAAAGGAAGAAAGGTAGTCACAACATGAACGAGCAGGCTTTGCTTCGGGGGCAGGACAGGGAGAGGGTTTTTTGTCGGGAAGGCGGCGTGGGTGCACACACTGCATGCCAGGCATACGTATTACAAAATGCATGTCTATGTGTGTATGTATGTATGTATGTACAAGTGTATGTATGTCGTGTTGCACGTGAGTAGAAGAGGGCAGACATGCAGCAGGGCGGGGCTTCATCCGATTTCCGGGGGAATAAGCTCTGCTGTGGAAGCGAGCGGCCCCGGTAAGAGGACCTGGATGTTGGAGTGCAAAGCCGTGCTGGGGACTGAAGTACTTGGGAGTCGGACATGTATACATACACACTACACACGTACGGACACGCGACGCGTGCACAGCGGAAAAACATACAGACAGCCGGGATGTGCGCGAGTTACTGTGAGAAAGCTAGTCCAAATTGGCAGTAAGGTGAGTTAGAACATTGCGGTGATGTCTTTTGTTCGCGGGCAGTGTATAGAAGTCGCGCGTGGACCACGAGCTTTTCGGGACTTCTGAGCAGGTTGAGCAGGAGGCGTGAAGGGAATTGACTTGTTTGGGGCTTGTTGTGCGGATTAATGCAATTTTTATTTTTTATCTGATTCTCTTAAGCTAACAACGAATAACCGTCACAGCCGTACGCGTAGGGAATGTTTGACGATTGTGTGACAGCGTGAGTAACCGCTGTACCAGCTGCAGGTTATTTCCTTATATAGCTTTGGAGGAAAAACTTACTAGCAAAAAGCCGCAGCGGAGTAAGAGGACTTAGCGGCAAGTTTTGAGCATTACCTACATTACCAGCGCCATCCCGGCAGCGCCACACGCCCACCTATCCCGGACAGCAGAGAAATGTCTATGTTCTGTGTTTGCGCGCGAGAGCGACCTTGTGTGCTGCGTTTCTCCGCCTTGCCACTCCACCACAGGGACGTCTCCCGGGGACTGACGTGGCCCCCTCCCCGTTTTCCCTTCTCCGAAATTCACGGACCGAGAAAACCCTTTGGGTAACCCCTCAGGGTCCGCCATTGTGCGCATCATCTCTTCGTCTGCACGCACGCACGCACACATGCACACACGCACCGATAGCAGACGCCCGCACATCTCTCTTGCCTGGCTTCGGATGCATGGCCACCACGTAATGGACCTCGCATACAGCCAGAGTCTATCGCTGCGCATCAGCGAGGCATTCCGCCAAGATACCCCCTACATAGCTTCCGCAGTCTCTAAACAGCTACATCCTACAGGTGTGCGCAATCCGCATGCCCATGGAAGAAAACCTCTCTCATACGTTCCCATCACGTACGTATGGCGTCACGCTTTTCAGATGTGCGGTTGTGCACATGACAACCTCCATAGCCATCAGGGGAACCTACAACACTACTCTCCTCCTCCACCTCCTACCACCTGGAGAAGGGGCCCTTGCGCGCCAGCACGTCCTCCTAACTGTATCTCTGCCTGCCTGCCTGCCTGTCCGTCTATCCGTCTATCTGTCTGTCTGTGTAGCGCCATAATTGGCTCCCCGAGGCAGCATGCGGTACTACTTTCCTTAGAAGACAATAATCCTCTGCGGTAGTTAGAATCCCGATAACGTACAACAACATTATCCTAGTTGACGTTGACGTTTCCTCGTAACGAACGCACACAGCATAGAATGGTGCTCGACCTGGAATGAATCCCCCTTTATACGGTTTTTTTTCCAGTACGGATCTTTCCAGGCCGCAGTCCATACCCATGGACATGCCTTCCTTCCAGCTTACGCCAGACTTCTTCCAGCAGGTATGGCGGCGTGTAGCGCACCGGAATGGGCACCGCCATATGCCCCCTCGCTGGGCGCCACCACCTGCCCTCAAGAAACCCATATCGCTGCGAAAACGCACGTCGGCACGTTTTTTTCAGCGCACGGTAAGCAGCAGCAGCAGCAGCAGAAGCAGCTCGCTGGCACATCGTGGTAGTCTACAACTACCTTACTTCAGCAGCTATTTCATTACGCAAGCGAGGGCTCTAATGGTGGCGCGCACTGACCGCGCCTGGCGCTGCAGCTCCTGGTGCTGCGTCTTCTGTTGCGATGACCCAGGGGTCGGTTCCTCCGTCTTGCCTGCTCCTGCCTGCTGGTCCGCAGGGTCCATCTGTGGGCCCCCCCCACTCAGGCGATCCAAAGCCGCCAGCAGCGCAGCGCAGTTCAGCACCTGGTCCAGCCCCTAGTCGCATGTACATGTACGGCAAATTAAAGCGGCAATAGCACGGCAACAATAACATTAGCGACTGTAATAACACAGCGGGTGCAGGGGTAACGAGAAACAGTCCGGGAAGAGAGTGTTTTGTTTGAATTGTGGATTAGAGCATCAGACCCTCTCGGCGCCGCTAACCCCGGTGCATTTCCGCAAAATCAGCTCCTTGAGCAGTCAGACAGTTAAATCAAAATGGTTGCGAGTGAGAGGCCGTGCGCGAGTTCTGGGCCATGGCATGGGCGTAGAACCAGTTGCACAATGGCCGTGTTTACTAAGGGCTAACGGCATACCGCCGCCCCATGCAACGGATATGTAAGGATAAGAGGAGATTCATTGCGGCGGCGGCAGCGGCGGCCTCTGTGAGCAACCTACCCACCTACCCATGAGAGCAGCAAGTCCCCCTCGAACACCGTCGGCAACCACCCTGACTGACCGTGTACGACCCGAAGAGGTCTAGACCCAGGCGAGTGCGAGTGAACCCCATCTCCCCAGCCCAGCCCAGCCCAGCGCAGCCCTCACCTTCCGTGTGAATATCAGCTCCTGTTGCGTTACGAAGTGCGGGGTGCGCAGAGCCCGTGTGTGTGTGTGTGGCGTTTGTGTGTCAGGAGGCGTTCGCCGGGGCGTCGCGCAATTAGTCACATACATACATACATACATACGTGCGGGGTGGGGTTGGGGGGGAAGTGGAAATGTTGCGGAGAGTGGTGTTGGGTAGTTCGTTAAGCAGGTCATTACATTTGAAGCGTCAGAAGGGAGGGAAATGGATATACATACGTACATACTTACCCGCCAGCTAGCAGGGCAGGGCAGGGCAGGGAGTAATGGACGAGCGAGCCCCACCAAGGGCGCCATGCTGCCGGCCTGTGGACGCCCCCTCCACTTCCCGAAAGATACCAGACACGCACGTCAAGACAAATCTCCAAGTAGCGGTGCTTAAAGCCTAGCAGGAGAAAGGACTGCTACTGCCACGCCGCGCGTTGCATCGCGTCATGTAACCTGAGCCTCTGGTAGCGAACCGCTAAGGACCTTCCTCACTCCGGGAACGACCCCTTTACTCCTTCCTCTTCCTCCTCCTCCTCCTGAACCCCCCTCCCTCGACAAGTACCTTCGCCGTGCATCACCCTACAACCCCCACCCCCACCCCACGCCTCCTGCTCCACTAAGCTGCCTTTTGTTTATATCCGATACACCGCGCACCTGCACCAACTGCAGCGCCGGCGCCCGCACCGCTGCCGCGGCGTGCCCCAGCGCTGCCGCCAGCGCCAGCGCCACGCCGCGCAGGCCCACCAGCCGGCTTCTCGCGTCAGTGCTGACCCGTGCCATGGTGACCAGCAGGCCTAGCCCCGAAACCAGCAGCTGCTGCTCCAGGGTCGAGTTTGCGGCCGCCCGCAGCTGCCCCACCAGCACCGAAACCAGCCCGGCGGACAGCAGCTGAGGAACCACCTGGATCCACCGGAGGTTAAGGATAGGTACGGTCTTTAAGACGGTCAGGCGGGCCCTCTGCCGTACATTGGCCCGTACACATAGCCCATCCTCCGTACCACACCTTGTAAATCTCACACAGCCATGTCCGATACTCAAGAGCCGTATTATTTATTACCTCGGCGGACAGGGTCAAGTACGACAAAGTGTTGTACGCCACCAGGCTCTGCGGCGCGCCCTCCGAAACCATCCCAACGAGCGCAGCCGGCAGCCCAGGTTCCGCAGAGGAGGTTGCCGCCGCCAGCGCTATCGCGCCCTCATAGCCGCCCTTGGCTCTCATGAAGCACCTGCGTGACGGCGGTGGGTGACAGACACTTGAGAGTCATGACCCGCTAGTCTTCCCCGCCCCCTCCCCATTGGGGGTTGCATGAATACCACTCACCCGTTAAGCAGGTGAAACGCCATCGCCGCCTTGACAGCATCGCCGCCCGCCGCCGCCGCCGCCCCTGCCCGCGCGTAATGTACGACCTGCTGCTCCCCGGGAAGTCCGCTCACGTCGCCGCCGCCGCCGCCACCGCCGCGGCCGCTGACAGCACTGGCGGTTGCGGCGCGGCCACGCCCACCAGCCGAAGCAGGACCAGGGCCGGCGGACGAAGCGGCAGCGATTGCACCGCCGCCGCCGCCGCCGCCGCGGTCAACGCGGTCACTGGCGGCTGATCCACGGCGGGCGCAGCCACGCGCCTGTCGGGTACCGGCGATCTCATCACCCCCGCTGCTGACGCCAGCGCCGCTACCGCCAGCATGAACAGATGTAAAGTTTCCTGCCGCCGCCGCCGCCGCCGGCGCACTGCCGGACCTGTGCCCCAGCGACCGGACCAGGATCGGGTGAATTCACGCGGCAAGCAGAGCGCACACGTCACACGGCGCACAGAGCAGTGGTGGTGTTCGGTCCTCCTCGCCCCCCAGGGCCCGGTCTTTAGGATATGTGTGTGTGTATGTTGGGTGTGCGTGTTGGGGGACGGTGGCGACGGGGGCACCAGGAAGAAGACCAGAAGATCCGGAGGTCTACGGGTCCCCCGGGGAGAGACCTGTCTGTGGAGCTATGTCAGGATTGTACCAGAGTGCACCTCACACCACAGGAGCGGTAGCTACAACGCAGCGGCGCGAGGCGGTACGGTGCCCCGGGTTCACCCGCCATAGGGGGAGGTGGTACGGCGCTAAGGTCCCCCATCTCGGCACTGCACTGCTCGTATCTTGTGAAGGTGTTCCCGTCCTGCTGACCACCGGCTGTATATCGGCCTCTGCTGGACGGGGTCCTCCCGTTGCTGCAGCCTGCAGCCTTGATTGATTCGCTGCGCCAACTCACTCACTTACGAGGTTGACTCGCCTACTTGGCCACGGCCACAGTGCACGGCCTCAGTGCACTGTGCACATGTACACACCCTCCCTCTAACCACCCGACCGGTCGTATAAGGCCCAGGCTAACACGGCACGCATGCGCGCAGCTATACGCGCGCACGGAAGCGAAGCAATGCGACACGGCATGACTCTGCGGCTCACCGAGCGCGTACGGCAGCAAAGGCCGCCCCGGCCGGCGTGCTGTATAGTGATGATGAGGAAGAGGAGGATAAAGGCGGCGACGCTGACGATGTCGTCCTCGGCCGGGTGTTCAAGGCGACCGCGCCGGCTTCAGTCCCGATGCTGCCGCTGCCCGCGCTCTCCAGCCGCCGCTGCGCGCCCCGCATAGGTTCCGGAGCGGAGTCCCCCGGCTCACCAAGGGGCCAGATCGGGGGTTCCCTGTGTTGCCAATGCACGGATGCCGCGCCAGCCGGGTCTACAATCTTGGCGCATTCCGGCGGGAGCGGTGTCGCTGCAAGGGGGAATGTCTGGGTGGATATGGGGCCGGTTCGCAAGGTTGGGGCGGAGGCAGCTGCGGCTGGGCGAGGGGGTCGGCCATGCGCGGGGATCCCGCCGCCAGTGGGCGACGCCAAACGAGTGCTTGAGCAAATGTGCTGCTTGTGCTGCTGATTTGGGGATGACGGCGGTGGCGGAAGTGACTCGACGGCCCCATGGGGAGCGGATCCGCCGGCATGGTGCTGAACTACCGCCGCCGGAGATGCCCCTCGACCCGCATTTGGCGGGAAGGCAGTTCCATGGTCGCGGTGAGGGTGGGACAGCTTGATCTCCGTTTTTACCGCACCGAATAGTTAGGAAAGACTGTCATCCAAAAATATGGGCCCCAAGAGAGCTGAGCCAGCGATGATGTAGGCCGCGGACCTGGCCTGGCAAAGTGTGGACTAAGCGGCTTCCTATGTACAAGAACGTTTTACTTCCAAAGAAATAGGCTTCCAAAAAGATGGCAGCCAGTTCATAAAATCAGGGTTGTCGATACTTGAAACTCAAGGGACTCCTAAGCTACGCGATGGCGGGAGTTATGAGGATGTAAGGCGAGCAGTTATCAGCAAAGATTGAGTAAATATTAACAGGTGCCGGTAAGGCCGAAGAGGTTGGCACGGTTAGAGTGTAACCACCTCATAGCCGATCGCTGTACAAAGGCAATATGCTAGTATCATCTCCAGAATGCTACACGGCAAGGTGAAACGAAGGATCGAAGGCTGACAGAAGCTACCACTTTATTATCTGAGGTGATAGAAGGGGGATGGACAAGGACAACACGTGGATATGGAGAGACGGTGGCAAAGGGAGTGGGTGAGGCGGCTTGCCCGGTGTGCATCAATATTAATGACGCATGTGATGACAGAGGATATGGGATTGAACGGATGTGTTGTGGTGGTCCGGGCAACAAGGCAGGCCCAAAGCCCTTTCCTAGTATGTAGTACAGCGGTCATAACGGCACATTTCATGTCAGTTGTTTTTTGCTACATGCGATAAGATGAAACACCTGAGCCTACACCCATTCTAGCCACTGTCTTCCTGTAGACGCGCCAGGCTGTTACCGGTACTCATGGTGCAACGACAGGCCGGATGCAGTTCGATTAGTTCTCAACTGTTCCAATAAATGTCTATACAAGTCATGCGTCATATCGGAACTTCGCGGCGATAACCGTTTCTCCTTTCAACGTTACTCACCTACCCGAGGCAGTCACAGACCTGGACTTTGGCAAATGGCCGGCAAACTCTGTGTTTCTGTTATAGGTTAGTGAATACTCAGAGGTGAAAAACCTTGCGTTGTCGCTGGTCGCAACGGGACTTGATGATTGCGGTGAACACTTGCGCAGAAGCACGAAACTTACAAGCAGATGACTTTGCGGAGAAAAACTTTTACGTAAAGCTTCGTGTTGGGAGCAACGAGGTCTGTTCTATGCAGGATTGCTCAGCTGTGCGCGATGGTGTTCGGCCTGCCTTTCGTAGTCACTTCTAATTCCATAACACGGGCTAATGCAGGTAAAAACTGACGTCGTCAAAGGCTCACTTCAACCCAAGTTTCTGAAGGACTGCCGGCTTTCGGTTCCTTTGCCAGAAACGGACATCCTTCGGGTACGGCATCGTGTGCTTCCAGCATACAATCCTATCGCGATTCGCCACCGCCCAACCGCAATGAGTCCAAGATGCATCACACAACAGACACATAACACATGACTGACATCATAAAATATTATTGTGACGCACAGCTGAACCTTGCCGGCTCCTCCTACCTAAGGGGAAATGTTGTGCAGACGTTGGGCTCTCGCCAGCCCGGCCATGCCACAACTGACACCTCACTGCGCGCAGTTTCGCATCGCTGCTATGTTTCTCCTTAACGATGTATAAGTTACGGGAATAATGCATGACGCCTTTAATAACTGTTTTCCTGCAATGCGTGGGATAGGCGAGGGTCCTGAGGGATCCCAGGTACGAATGTGGGTCAGAGGAAAACGACACTCCCTTCGCCGGTCCATTTCGCCTACCCGCATCCCAACGACCGATTCCTCTGTGAGCAATATGAGTCCTGAAAGCACATGCTCATGGAAATGGCAAAGTTTACACCACCGCTCCTCGGCTGCAGTGACTACAATGCGGCATGTCCTACTTTACCGCGCTCCTCCTGTGGCTCCTTTTACCCTTAAAACCACCACCGTCCAAAAAAAAGCCCGTTCACCTCCGGCCCCCTCTCTCCGGGTGACCCAGATCGAGCTGCTCCAAGTGGGCCCCCGCGGCGACCTGGTGGTGGGCTCCGACGACCTGCGCATCCTGACCATCACCTCCAGAGGCACCATAGTACACTGGTTCCAGCTGAGGACCGCCGGCCGCGATGTCAGTGCGGAGCTGTGCCTGGTGCTCAGGTACCTCTCAGGTCGGTGGGTTGCTGTTGGGATGATTTGGTTCGAATCTGGGTTGTCGGCATGGGTCGATCTGGTCCTCAATCTGGGTCGTCGGCATGGGTCGATCTGGGTCGATTGAAGTAGGAGGGGACAATCCTTAGATTGGATTGCTTTGTGCATTTCTGCTGGGCGCCGGTGGCATGGGGGTTCCATGCATCACATGCGCGAGGGTGAGGACGGTGCGAGCATACACGCGTCGCGGGTGCAGCAGGCCAACAAACGAAGCGCGCGGCGATCCTGACACTAATCCCCCACACCTGCAAATTCTGTGCACTGTGAATGCCTGGATGGATTATCCGCGACGCCGTTATGAAGAAAAAGGAAAGAGAGCCTCTTGCTGGATATCCGCCTGAAGATGCCGTCGGTTTACCCGAAACGTATTTCTTACCCCGACTAACGCCCCTACCTCCCGCCTGCTGGCCCCGGCTTCTGTCGGTTTCGGATCCGCAGCCGGCGCGCACCGGCCCATGTCGCCCACGTACGCCATTGCGGCTCGCCAGGCCAAGGAGCGAGCGCTGGAGGGTCCCCCGGCGCCGCAGGTGTGGGGGTGGACCCAAGGCAGCGGCTCCAGGTTGCATGTAGAGCTGGTTCGAGGTAGAATAGGCGCCGCGGCTTGCCTGCACCTTGTTCCTCTCATTACGCAGAGGAACAAAGTTCAGGGTTACGGCACATGTGATTATCTGCTATGGCTTTTCTCTTCACCGTCTCTTTTTCCTCCGAAATTCGTATTCCCTATATTGCTGTTCCTGGCCCTTCAGACGCCTTCCACGTCCGCCTTCCGCGACCTCCCCAGCGCAGCCGCCCCTGGCGGCACCAGCACCAGTGGCAGACTAACCGCCGCCTCCTCGCCCGCAGATCAGCAGGGCTCCTCCGCCACCGCAGCCGCCGGTGCCGCCGGCAACACCGCGACCAATGGCAGCGGCAGCGGGCACTTGTACGCCAACGGCAGCCCTATGGGGTCCCCCGGCGCGGCAGCATCGGTTTCTGGGCATGCAGCCGGCACGCGGGGCCCTATGGCCGCCGGGCCAGGCATGGCGCGGGGGCCGCCACGGCAGCAGGTCTCGTCCACGGGCTCGCGGCGACCTGGGAGGCCTAGCGACGGCAGCCGTAGCGGTCCGACGCAGGTGCCGCTGCCGCTGGCAGTGTTGGGTGGCATGGTGGTTGGCGCGCTGGTGTACCTGTGGAAGAAGCGGCCTGTATATTACGAGGTAGGGGAGGAGGAGGAGGACTGGGTAGGATGGGCGGCAGCTGGGACGCATACTACTGGGTGCTGCAACCGGGCGGCTTACCAGCTGTCGGGCAGGATACGTGGTGGTGTGGGTCAAAGACGGGACGGTGAGCGTATTTATAGCCGGAGGAGCGCATCCGGCGATCCTGCTACTGTGGTCTTAAACAACGCTAAGAACAGGGCTCTTTATGAAACAGGTCGTCAGTGTAATCTTTGATTCCTTGTTTCCCGTGTGTGTGTGCAGGTCCAGGAGGATGACACGCTGTGTCACATCGCGTCCTGCTTCAAAAAGCGTGTGGAGGATGTGTATCAGAAAAACAAGGCGCTGCTTAAGAACCCAAGCAGGCTGTATCCTGGCGACCGCCTGAGGATTCGATAAGCCCTCCCCAGCTGCCGTGCCGCCGCCAGGATAATGTACGGTGCCCTTGTAATGGGCGCGCGTGTACGCGTGAGGGACGACAACCGACGTGCGTCGCCGTACGCGCGAGAGGCATGTCGCAGTGCGACGTGGCGCGAATGCTTGTACGTGTGCGTGTTTCGGCTGTGTGCGGGCTGTCCACGGCACTTTGCGGTAGATGGGCGAGGAGAGGAGTTTGTCCTGGGCGAGGTCGAAATGCTGGGGTGCATGATTTGGCCTGGGAACACGGTCTCTGCCTGCAGGCGGATCACCCCTGGACGACCTCTCCAGTTTGGCTCTTCTGCGTTGTCTGTCTCGGTGCAGCGGGAGGTGCTTGCTTACCTGTTTGGGCAGAGGGAGGTGTGGGTCGCCAACCCGGCCCCCAGGCTGCTTCATCCCCCGTGCATTACGCTGAGTGAACAAACATTCTCCATGCCACATTGTGCTTGTAAAACATGCACAGTTTTGTGGAGGGACGTTGGGCAGGATGGAGACGCCGGGTTGAGTGGAGGGCCGTGAGTCAGGGTCCGCCTGTGTTTTGCCGGTGGCTGGTTCAGAAGCTTCCTGTGGTATTTCCTTCGAAGGACTTCCCGGTAAGGGTGCCTGGTGGGTGGCTTCCCACGGATGGCTGAACTTGAGGAGCTGATGAGCGGCGCGCTGCCCAGCTGGAAAGGAGAGGGCTTTTTCGGTCGGTCAAGCGAGAGCGACACGAGCAGCGAGGCGCGTGAGCGGCCAGTGATGCCCGTAACGTATGTCTGATGGACGTTATTTTGAGCATTGTGCGCGTATGTCCGTTGACTCCATGTCTGGCTTTGGGAAGGGTTTACGCGCTGTGCTGCGTGCAGCCAGGGATACATGGCTTGGCTGGTAATATCTGGGAACGCATCTCGATGACTTCGCCATGCGGCAAGAGAAGGCCCGGTGAAACAGTCTAGGGGCAAGGTGGGAAACGGCGGCGACCCGAAGGTTGGCCGCTACATGGCTACGGTGTGGGTGACCTGAAGCCGTGTTGGGACTTGTGCGTGTGACGGGACATGTGCGAAATTTTGAGTTGTGTGGCGAGCTGTGGTACGGGTAAATGAAGTTTTCATGGTGCTCTGCCTATAATGGTTTTCAGTGTGACCCCTTTAAGTTGACGAACTTTCTTGGACCCCTCGAGTGACCTCGGTGAAGCACCTGACGGGCAGCAGTTTTGTAGTATGGCTGGCGGCCGCTGTGTGTGGGGCTCCATGTATGCCCACTTGGAGGTGTCCCCAGATAGATAATCTGGTTCCGGCCCCGGCAGACTCGATTCGGCAGGCCATGGTGGCCTTTGCCTCCCTTGCTTCGTGCTGTACATGACGACACGACTGGAACGATGTATTGCGAACGTATGGCAGAGCCCAACCACCGGTATGCAGGTCTTGGCAGGTCGGTAGGGGCACCGTGCCTGTAGTATGGCTAGTCCCGAAACCTATTCTTTCTGGTGCACTGGTTAGTGGTGTGGCATAACCTGATGATGTCGTGTTTTGGATTTTATAAAACACCACCCCGTTGCCACATGCAAAGGGATGATGTTCTGTATGGCGTTTTGCGCTAACACCAATTTCGTAATAGGCCAAGCATCCGCTGACTATCTAATCCGCTGAATAATCGGAAAAATCTCCTTGTCCGTCTAGTAGTGATACAGAAACCCTGCGTACCCTCCACATGAAACCGGAGCCCGGGGGGGACCCTAAACCCTCACCCAGGAGGAGCCGGAGTCACAGAATGCATTGGTGCCAACATAGCACAAAAAGCTATGCAAAACGCATATGCGTTATATATGCAGAAGCAAACTGCCTCATACAGGCACCCAGAAGTACACAGGCACCCAGAAGTACAGTGCATCATACAGGCACCCAAAAGAAAACCCATCCCAAATTAAATAGGATCACCCTGATGTAAAAAGTTGAATAGACGGCTTGGGACTGCAACGCTTGTTCAGATGCCCCCACGCGGCAAATGCAGGCGGCGAGGCACCATCAGAGGAAAATGAAGCAAATGACTGTATTTGGATTGAGCTGAGGACTATGTTCAATTCAGGTAAAATCATGACCATGCAACGCATATGCAACCATAAGATGTCGTTGAAGAGGGGTCTCCTTAAAACAATATTTCTTGGTATAGCTAAAGGTTTCTCGATTATTTGAAACGGAAGTTGTCTCCCAACGGAAGTTACGCGGCCCCGAGCTGCATGCAACGATTTTTCACGAGACAGGTACGGCAGTGTCCGCGGTGGTATAAAGCGTTTGAAGACACCCATCCAATAACTATCTCTTTGTTTGGGTAGCTGCAACCTCTGCATTTATAAATCTCGCATTTATTTCGTGTCAGATACCAAGGCAACACTACGCAAGTAGTCCTCGTAAGAAGTCGGAGTCATGCAGATCTTTGTCAAGACCCTTACGGGGAAGACTATTACCCTTGAGGTCGAGTCCTCGGATACTATTGAGAATGTAAAAGCCAAGATTCAGGACAAGGAGGGTGAGTCGAGTTTTTGGCCTTTTGTGGCCCGAGATGAACATGGTAGAAGGCGCCCTCAAAACTTGTTGTTGAGCTGTTCCAGTCATGCCCTGTAGGGCATGTGTAGAAATGCTTGTGTGCTAGGAACATGACAGCATAGCGGCCTTGGCCATGCCCCAGGCAGTAGGGTTTCCACGTTTGACGTCGCCTACGGATGTCTTCCATCAAAAGTCCTCAGCAGCAATAAGCGCTTTACGTATTCTGTCTTATCCAGCGCTGCGTTGTCACGTAACTTCTTTGTCATGATGTCACAAACCAACGCGTGTTGGCAAAAGTGGGCAGCGTGGGCCCATTTCTCTTTTTTACGCTTAAATGTTCTCGTGTAAATAAAGAGGTGCCCCTTCTTTTGGCGACAAGTTTAGTCAAAGACGTGGCACATCCAGAGCACCACCTCTGCGTTCGCTTTCCCTTGTAGGCATTCCGCCGGACCAGCAGCGTCTGATTTTTGCTGGCAAGCAGCTGGAGGATGGCCGCACTCTGGCGGACTACAACATTCAGAAGGAGAGCACCTTGCACCTGGTGCTCCGTCTGCGCGGTGGCATGCAGATCTTCGTGAAGACCCTTACGGGTAAGACCATTACCCTGGAGGTCGAGTCTTCGGACACCATCGAGAACGTCAAGGCCAAGATTCAGGACAAGGAGGGTAAGCATCTGGGACTCTGGGGTGCATCACTTGAAATGGGGAGAAGTTGCAGCTCTGTTTTCCGCCTTTGTCTTTTTCAAAACTCCTTTTACACCCCATGGCTTGTGCGATTCTCCGCTTGTAGGCATTCCGCCGGACCAGCAGCGTCTGATTTTTGCTGGCAAGCAGCTGGAGGATGGCCGCACTCTGGCGGACTACAACATTCAGAAGGAGAGCACCTTGCACCTGGTGCTCCGTCTGCGTGGTGGCATGCAGATCTTCGTGAAGACCCTTACGGGTAAGACCATTACCCTGGAGGTCGAGTCTTCGGACACCATCGAGAACGTCAAGGCCAAGATTCAGGACAAGGAGGGTAAGCAACTGGGACTCAGGGGTGCATCACTTGAAATGGGGAGAAGTTGCAGCTCTGTTTTCCGCCTTGGGTTCGCTTAGCTGTTCCTGTCTTTTTCAAAACTCCTTTTACACCCCATGGCTTGTGCGATTCTCCGCTTGTAGGCATTCCGCCGGACCAGCAGCGTCTGATTTTTGCTGGCAAGCAGCTGGAGGATGGCCGCACTCTGGCGGACTACAACATTCAGAAGGAGAGCACCTTGCACCTGGTGCTCCGTCTGCGTGGTGGCATGCAGATCTTCGTGAAGACCCTTACGGGTAAGACCATTACCCTGGAGGTCGAGTCTTCGGACACCATCGAGAACGTCAAGGCCAAGATTCAGGACAAGGAGGGTAAGCAACTGGGACTCAGGGGTGCATCACTTGAAATGGGGAGAAGTTGCAGCTCTGTTTTCCGCCTTGGGTTCGCTTAGCTGTTCCTGTCTTTTTCGAAACTCCTTTTACACCCCATGGCTTGTGCGGTTCTCCGCTTGTAGGCATTCCGCCGGACCAGCAGCGTCTGATTTTTGCTGGCAAGCAGCTGGAGGATGGCCGCACTCTGGCGGACTACAACATTCAGAAGGAGAGCACCTTGCACCTGGTGCTCCGTCTGCGCGGTGGACTGTGAACGTTTTGTGCGTGAATAAAACTCTTGCCGCCTTTGTTTTGTGAGGAATTGTACTTGGCAAGAGCATTGGGGAGGTATTGCAGATGCGGAGACTTTTATGTAATTCACGTACGTGCGTCATAATCATTTTTACACAAGAAAGTACGATGTGCTATTTCGCTGCCATGCTGTAAAGGCGTTACAACAATCCCTTCACAATTTCTTTTTTCGCATCAGCTCTTTGAGGTCCTGCAGGTAGATCAAAAAGCAGGATAAAAATTTAACAAAACTACTAATAGGTTAACACGATATACCAGGAAATTGACTAATTATATAATTCTAAAATCAAAACAAAATCAACCTATTTTAAATACGTACTAAAGTACTCAACTAGAGGGCAGGACACACGGTCGGGTAGACCAAAATTTTCTCACGAGGCTAATTCTGCGACAGAGCACTTCCCTAATTCCAGCCCGGATCCTTCCTTCCTACTCACCTTAAACGCTGCCATAACATCACGATTAAAAATATACTTGACTGTCTTCCAAGGGCTCCGATGTACCTGAGACATGATTATTTAGCTTAATGTTTTACTGTTATGTGTTTTGCAAGTTCTTAGCTTCGTACCTCCTCAAAAGCAGCCACAACTTGCGGATTATCTAGCCACCTGCGGTAATTATTCGATGAGATACGTAAGAAATTAGTTAAAACGTATCCCATTACAGACTACGATGTATAGACCGGAAATTACGAAATGCAGAGATACAGGTCTTCAGAGCCATGGAGCCACGCATCCTTACTTTGAAGCTTCGCGATCGGTAGACATAAGTGCTATTAACGGATTCATGGCTGCTGCCCTACTATTGGAAGCAATACTGTCCAGGGCTCCGCTGACGCCGGCAGACTCTCCACTAGGCGGCTGGCCCGGGGGAGGCGGGACGCCTCCGCTAACAGAGGCAACGCCCTCTGTCTCCGACCTGGATGGTGGCGATGGTGGCAGCTCAATTGTGCTGGCAGCGGGCGCACTAGCTGCAGGTGCAGCCCGGGGTTTCGAGGTACCCATAATTTCCCGCACCTGCGGCATAATGGAAGAAATCGACTCGTCGCGGCTTTCGGTCACCTGCACGCTTCACTGATCCAGTGCCTATAGACACCAAGGCCTCACTCAAAACCAACACAGCCCAGCACTTATACCCGTACCTTGTGCACCACCTCCAGCAGATCCTTTTCCCCTTCGTACTTGATCTCGCGTGACGGGTCCTCGCTAATATCCAGGAAGGCAGCCAAGATGCGAGGCTGCTGCAGCTTGGCCAGCAGCCCCGGATGCCCCATGAGTTTGGTGAACATCTGGCCAGGGTCCAGACCCAGCCGGGACGCGCGAGCAAAGGTGTCGTCCATGGCTGCCGGACTCATGCGATCCAACAGGTGGTCCGGAATGGAGAGGCCCTGTGAGGCGGAGAGCGGGCGCGGAGGAGAGAGTCTCAGGGAAACACTGCCACAGCATCAGAAAATGCTGGATTCGCAGTGTTCCCAGGTCTGGCGCTTAGGACTAGACCGTGTAAACGCCTTGCTTATTGTACATAGATAAATTCAGAGTTTCAGATCGTGACATCAACCAGGTAGTCCAGTATGGGCCTTGCCGGGGCCGTCCTAGCCCGTCTGGTGAGGATCATAACCCAAACCCGCAAGATGCCCCTCTATCGGTCTGGCCATTCAAGATACGCCCACGCCTTGGCCCTACGTCCGGTGATCCTTTCCTGTCCCCTGCAATCCCCTGTTCCATCTTTTCTCACGACTCCTCAACTTCACCGCCCTGCTCAGATCCGCTTCAAACCTCCCTTATCACCTACGCGCGCTGCAATGATTTCCGCAATCTGTCGCCGCATGGCCGGGTCCCCAAAGAGCTGCTTGAAGACGTCAGGATTGCGCAGCGGACCAGGCAGCACATTCATCATGATTTGCTGCAACTGAGTGCTCTGTCCCATCAGCTCTACCATACGCTCCGCCTTGCGGAGGGTATCTGCAGGGGAAGGTTGACAGGGAGGCATCGGTCGGGCGACAGCGCGGGGCATGGCTCAGGGCAGGTGAAGGTGGCGAGAGCCGGGGTGCTTGTGCGGCAAACAGTGACCGGACTGATGACGCCGCATGTTTGGGACCGGGGTGCATGAATGCTAATTATGCGGTTTACACCCCAGCTCAGGACGGGGTGGGAGGGAGGTTTTCAGGTACGGCGGATGGAGCCCAAAAGTGGTGTACGGAACCTTGAGTGATGTGCGTTCAGGTGGCCCTATACTTGCATGAAACGCGTTTACGGCACTGTGCGGAGGGACATAGCAACTAAATGATTGCTATACCTTCTGACGGGGGGGATGATGAGAACCAGCGGCGCCCGTAAAAGGTGCCTGGCAAGGCCCGCACGCACGTCGACGGAGTGGTTGCGATTGCTTCCACGCCGGCACGCCTCGCCAACAGCACTGGCCGCAGAACCAGACGCGCCGCAGACTGCATGATGTCTTCGTTGCCGCACCGTTGGCGAAAACGAGAGGATGATAAGTTGTCGGCACTGGCTTAGAGATGAAGTTTTAGCTTTCTTTGTTACCTTGCCAATATAACCAACTTACGAGCACAAATATTAAGGTTCTATTCATCTTCAGCCGTCAGTTCGACAGTTCGGTTGAGTTCCTTGGTACGACAGCTATACTGATAGGTCGCTAGTGTTGCAGTGCACCGTATAACCAAGCTGCATGGCTAACAATATTTGATTGTAAAGCTTTTCAACACCCATCTAGTTACATATCTTGGACGCGTCGCAAGCTGAGTCGCAGCGCTTAACACCGTGAAACTATACATACCGCTCGCTGCCTTTGTAGCATTTATCCTTCATAATAGTTGTCATATTGATTGTCATATCTCAAATTTAGCGCAAGTACAGTAGCTTAAGTTGTGCGCCTTCTCATAGGTAGCGGAATCGTTTTTGGTCCGCCTGCGCCTCGCGTGCCATGTACTCGTATCCACAAAGGCCTGGGGCTATGAGCCCTGCGCCTTCATCTGCTTTCGCTCAGCCCCAACAACATCAGCAACCTGTCTACGTACCCCCTCCTCCGCCAGTTGCAACACCAGTGCCCGGGCTATGCAATGCCCCTTCAGGGTCTATAACTACCCTACGGCTTAAGCTCTCAGAGGACATACGCATAGAGCCACCGGTAAGATGCCGCCCCGAACTCGTTATCGGACTTTCCACTGAAGGGCTACGCAAGCCAAGTCCCATAGTAGCAGGGTTTAGGGTTTATATCGTTAGCTGTGTCCGCAGGTCGCGGTTTCCGCCGCACTTCTGCCTGCCTGTGGTGCCCAGGCCCTGGCCTGTCCCGACCTGTCCCGGGAGAGGCAGCTGGTGGAGGGCCCCAGGCGGGGGCTGCAGGGCCAGGGTGACAAGGCGGGCAGCGGTTCTCCTGACGTGGATGCCTACCTGGCCCGAATGAAGGTCAGCTCCGGTGTTGCTCGCCGCCGTGGGGATGTCGCATGTGGCACGTGTCCTCATGTGCTTTGCCTGTTGTGGGCGTCTTCTCATCTGTAACGGACCGACCTCTACTTCCGTGTGCACCGTGAATGTGTGTATCGATGTGTGTGTGTGTGTGTGTGTGTGTGTGTGTGTGTGTGTGTGTGTGTGTGTGTGTGTGTGTGTGTGTGTGTGTGTGTGTGTGTGTGTGTGTGTGTGTGAGGGGTTGAGGGGTTGAGGGGTGCGGGTTGAGGGGGCTTCACCGGGGTGAAGGTACTATATGCCTACGGCAGTCACAATAACAAGCCGTTGTCTCATACGAGGCCTCTAGCGGGCTTTCTGTGCTATCCGCCTGGGGCGAGTAAAGGGAAGGATGTTGCGATATGAGGCTATAACCCGGTGGGTGGGCTATCAGAGCACACATGTGATAGGAGCACGATCGGACCGGCCTCTGGGACGTTTTGATGTTGATGACGTTGTTGATGTTGTTGTTGCGTTGCCGCACCAAGGTCACACCGCAAGATGGCCAGAGTCTTTGTTAGGGCGGCAGCAGTTGGTATGACCAGGCGTGTATGACCAGTCGGCGTGCAGCACCGTACCTCGTATGCTGTCGCCCCCCGATCGTCATTGATATAGGCGACAGGCTGCCTCTGCATCATCGTTCGACGCGAACTCCGCTGAGGATGCACCTTTCCTGACACTTCACGTATGCTGCCTCTGTCCCTGTCATCGCTGCTGCTGCTGCTGCTGTTGCTGCTATATCTGCGGCGCCCAGCCGGGGGAAGTTCCGCAAGATCCAGCCATCTTGCAACTGGTCGCTAAAGGGATGTCACAGGCGGCGGCGGCGCTGGGAGTGGTGTACGGGCGAGCGGGACGTGGCGGAGCTGAAAAGGTGCGTCGCAGTGGAAAGGCTGTAGACGCGAGCACGGAGAGAAGAGGGGAGCGCGAGTCGATCCACTTTCCCCGTTTCTCGGGGGAAAGGGGTGCTGGGTGGACGCGCGGGCCGAGGAGCGGGTCTTGTTGAAAGACACACGCAGAGAGTGTCTTTCAAAGAACACGGCAAGAGTGTGCGGGGCGCAGGACATCGTCTTAAAACGTGATCAGAAATGCGGTCGCAGAAGAGACAGAAGACTGCCAGTACTTTCTTCCCACAGCATTTACCGGTTTGACCGCTTTGACCGGTTTGACGCAGCAACCATCCATGAGCGCGATTGAATGAGCGTTCGGAACACTAGTACGCAGTAAAGGAGGGTTGGCGTCGGTTGGTTTGCGCACGGCACCCTTTCTGTTTTTACGTCCTGGGGTTACATACAGGAATCGTAAGTCATAATCCATACCCATATGTGTGTGTGTGTGTGTTTCCCCTCCCGGAACCCCCTGCCAGGCAGCTGAGTTTGCGTCCTGCTTGGAGCAGCTGACAACGATGGGTTTTCCGTTGCCGCTGGCGGCTGGAGCGCTGGCAAAGCACAAGCTTAGCCTAGAGGCTGCGACCGAATCCTGCCTTGCAACCGCCAACTAGCTGTCGGGGCGTCTTCCCTTGGAGCGTTAATTGCGCTGGTTTGTTAAGCTACTTGTAGGCGTTTTTATGAGGTATTAAGACGTTTTGTGGCATATATGGGAACACAGGAACACAGGTGCGGCACACGCGGCTTCATGGGTGCCTGTAGAAGCGCGTCGCACAACTTGCTTCTTCCCAAACGCTTTTTAGCGTCTTATCGTTTGATGGATAGTGCAAGTAGGCGGTAGCAGCGAGGCCGGTTTATGAATGTGGGAAAGGATATTGAAGCCCTTGATGCCTCGTGCGGTGCTGACCTGAACTGGTTTAAGCTGCGCCCGGGGTCTTCGCCCACGGCAAAAGCAGTTGTGACATGTGGTTTGCCTTTTTATGTCTTTTGCCAGGTAGCTAGAGGCAAGGGACAAGGGCAGAGATGGCCTGGGATGTTAAAGCCCAGACGGAGATTGTTGATTTGCAGCCGACCCACAAGCCCAACTGGGTTGGTTTTGGCGCAGTGAAGTTTGCGGACAAATGGACCCGTGGGTCAAGAATGGTCGGGAGCAACACATCGGCGCCTCTACCGTGGCTTGGATTAATTTGAAGAAGCAAGGTATTCCCTCCCGAAAGTGTTTGCGGTATGTTTACCTTCTGACGGGACAATTGGCTGCCTCTCTGTGTTTCCTTCATCTCAACGGGCAGTAAGACGCTCCCGGAAAGACATCCTAGGACATTCCTCTGGAGACTTACTCTAAGCTCAAATGCATTTGCAAGAATGCCGATGCTCAATCCTCGACGACGGTAGGAGACACCTCACAATGAAGGTGTCCGAAAATCCAGATGAGGAAGATCTGACTATCAACAAAGTAATCGGTATGCATGAGCTGCATGCCTCCAGAATGCAGTAGAGCAGGCTTGCACGACAAAGCCAGTCGTGGTTGCCGCACAGTTGGCATCGCGCTTTTACTGCGGGAAGATACCCGTTTCCTTTCCTTGAGGGGCAAGCTTCAAATCTTCTCGTATTAGATTTTTCAGTGGTGGTCTGCTTGGTTAACACCACACAAAAATGCTGCTGAACAAGTACTGTGAATCGGTCTACCAGACCCAGCGTCGGCCGACGCGCACGGTCATGGTGCGTAATTCCATCTACAATTGAATCCACGGGCTTAGGTTTGTCAGCTCACTGGAAGCTGCCATTACACCGTGGGCTTCGAGCGGGTGTTGGCGTTAATGTCGCTCGGCAATCGGGCTCCCTTCCAGCTGGATATTCAGAATTACGTTCACCAGACATTCCAACATTCCACTGAAAAGATCTTGCTTCGTCCTTGCAGATCGGCAAGGTGCCAGTGGGCAGTGAGCACAGGATTGCTCTGCAGACCATGACAACGACGGATACGCGGAACGTGCAGCTAACTGTCGACCAGGTAATTTCATGGAATGAATTGGCAAGAAACAATGGCATCTGCCACGGCATTCGTTAGCGTCGGCGGTCGTGTGGTTACTTATGTTCACCATAGTATGTAAAGAGGAGGAATGGGCGCGAACAAACACCATTATCTGAATTATCTCGTATGAGCAACGGATCTGCAATAGCTGTTACTGCTCCTGTGCCATCGAGGTGCCTGGCATGAAGGCCACAAAAGCCGCGCAGCACACCTTGCGTCCTATCCTAAATATGCGTTAAGGCGTCAGAGCAGTTTGCAGTCTTACAATTTTCCAACTCGCGGCGTCCCGTGTGCTGGATGGCCATGCAGGTGAAAAAGTGTGCAGATGCGGGCGCAGACATTGTCCGCATCACGGTGCAGGGCAAGAAGGAAGCGGAGGCATGCATGCGCATCCGTGAGCAACTATTTAAGGACAGGTGGGCACCCGCGGGCCCGGGACGGGTGCACCGATGGCGCATATAAAACCCTATCGACGACGTTGCGCAGCCAGACAGGCCGGGGGCACACTCAGAACCAGAACACGCTGGGATCTGTCCATGAAAAGGACAAATTCCAGGAGGGAAGGAGCCCTGCAGGCACCATTCCGTGTGACAAGGAGAAGGGCCCAGCTGTGCCGATCCAGTGCCGTGACTGCGTGTGACTGGACCAGGCACAAATCCTCCAGGGCTGAGACTTGGGCCGCCAGTGGCCGCCCTCTCTCCCTGCATCTGGATCTGGGTCCTGCCTGTCGGGCTATCTCCTAGCTGGCAGCTTCCGGTGGGGGACCAGCTCGGGCTTGCCGTCTGCGCTCCTGGCCACCGCCCGCATGGACCTCCCTCCCCCATTTCCTACCTCCTCCCCCACCTCCCTACCTGCCTACCTGCCGGCCTACCTGCCGGCCTACCTGCCGGCCTACCTTCCTACCTTCATCGCACCAGCGCATCTGGGCCTTCCGTCATCCGCGCCGCGGTTGTCATCCTCGTGCCCCGGCTACGTGACTGCGCGCCATGCACACTCCCTAGTTATCCCACACTCCTAATTCACTTTGTTGTTGGACTCTTCCCTGGTCCCTTACCTTACCCTGCCAGCCACGTCCCCATGCCTCCATGTCCCCCCCCTTCCCCCCTTTTCCCCCCATCCCTTCGGCTCGTCTTATCCCCCTTCCTCCTCTCCCTCCCCCTCTCCCTCTCCCTCTCTCCCCCCCGGAAAGGTACGATGTCCCTCTGGTAGCGGATATCCACTTCCAGCCCACTGTGGCCATGATGGTGGCGGATGCCTTCGAAAAGGTACGACAGCCGTAATCGTACCAGGGTCGTACACACCAGCTGGAGAGTGGAAGCTCAGGGCCGGCAGGGATCTGAGGGAGGGAGGGAGGGGGGGCGGCGGCAAGAGATCCCGGTGGTGGAGGGGAGTGGGGGAAGATTGGGGTCGTAAGATGCCGCAGTGACAAGCGACTGCAGATATCGCGTTGCGTGCGATGGGTGGAGGTGGCGGTGACGGTGGTGGCAGCTCGGGGTTATGGGGGTCGTGCGGCCTTGGTGGGGGGGGAGGTTGGTGCCTGGTGGGGGCAACACGTGGGTCGAATCGGGAGAGGGAAGGCCTCCGGCTGGTCTGAACACATCAAGTAGCAGGAACGTGGGAGGAGGGTGGGGAGGAGGAGGGAGGGGAGGAGGAGGGTGGGGAGGTTGCTGTCCAATGTCACATCGAGCCCCAGCTGAGATGGTGGTGTACAGAGCACGACGCGATACACACATACGTACAAATATACACACAGACCACCGTACGGCCGAGCATTGGGCATTGCAGCTTTTTTCTCTCTCTCTCTCTCTCTCTCTCTCTCTCTCTCTCTCCTTCTCGGCAGTAATTGCAACTGCAGCCGTGACGGTGCTGATGCTAGTTCAGCCGCCTGGAGCTGTTGCTCTCCGCGACAACCGCCAGGTGCTCTGCGGCCAAGGGGCCCTCGTTCCTTCCTTGTACGAAGAGAGGATGAAATGACGATGCGCCCGGAGTGAAGGGGTTTGGTAGCTGGGCTGGGCTGTATGAGCAAGTAGGGGATGATCGCAGCCATACACATGCATGGAAGGGTTAGATTGGAAGGAGCCTGGAAGGAGAGGGAGAGGGAGAGAGAGAGAGGAGGAGAGAGGGAGGTGGCATTTGACTCGGCGCTGCTTTAGGAGTGCTTTCCCTTTAGGAGTATTTTTAGCTACACCACCGCCGTCCCGCGCCTGCGCCCAAAAGACATTCCGCTGCTGCTCCCGTTCCGTGTAGCAACACACATTCACGCCCCTCCCCGCCACCCTCTTTTTTCCTGTTGATTAGGAGATGGTGTTGCGGCTTATTGCCCATCCCTTTCTCAACCTGGCCCTGCTCAACACACACCACCTCGGCCCTTGCTGTTTTGTGACCCTCCCTTGTCCCGTCTGTCTGTCTGTCTGTCTGTCGGCTGGGGCCCTCCGTACAGATCCGTATCAACCCGGGCAACTTCGTGGATGGACGCAAGAGCTTCGACGTCATCAATTACGATGACCCACGGGTCAGTAAAGGCGGGTCTGAGTGGTTTAGAACGGCTCGGCAATAAAGTCCCCAAACCCCGTTGCGTCGTGAGAACCTGGGGTTGCGGCATTTGCAGGTTGTGACCTGGCAGCGCCAATGCAGTTTGGGTCTGGACGTTATGTTACGGGGGGGGGCCGAAAGGGACGAATGGCTGTCTCGAAAAGGAGTGTGAGGTATCCCGGTGGAGAGCTGTCTCCACCTCCACTACCACCCCCTGACGACGACGTCGAGTAATGATGCTGCTTGGTTGGGGAGGGACTGCACGGCTGTCTGGCTCTAGGGAGGGTTCGAAGTCTCCCTTTCCCTTTCCCCTGGTTGTTAACCCCTGGTCATGCCAACATCGCGCGCGGGGGTGTTTTGCCTTCTCACCGCCCCCTCCTGCACGTATGTCTACCCCTGCCAACACACCCACCCACCCACTCTCCGTCGTGCTTGATTACCACAATCTTTCGCTCTCTTACGTCGTCGACTCCACTTGCAACCCCGAACCGCGTACCCGTGCCTGAAACTGCGTACCCCGCCGCCCGCGGGCCCCCCCACATGCCCCCTTCCAGGAGTTTGAGCGCGAGCGGGAGCTGATTGAGGAGACCTTCACCCCGCTGGTGCTCAAGTGCAAGCAGCTGGGCCGGGCCGTGCGCATTGGGACCAACCACGGCTCCCTGTCGGCCCGCATCCTGTCATTCTACGGCGACACTCCCCGGTGAGGATGGGGGGTTGGGGTGGGGGAGGGGGGAGGGGTGAGCATGGGTAGCAGCTGCTGTTGCTGTAGTTGCAATGACCCTAAGCAACCAGGAGGGGGATGGGTCGTGGAGCTGGGGCACTGGGGTTGTTGGGAGGGGGGAGGGTGTGGGGGCGGGGAGCGAGAGGGGGGAGAGGTGAGAATGTAATCAGAACAATTATCGTTAATGATTATCTCGTCACCTCCACAACATTTCTGAACACCCCTCCTGCCTTCTCTTGCCCTCCCCTCTCCCTGCACCTCCACCTTGCCCCAATCTCGGGCTCGGCTCCTACCCCTCCCCCCCCTCTCCCCTCCCCAACACCTCCACACACTCGCACACCTCACCAACCCCTACACACAACACGTACGTGCGAGCAGCGGCATGGTGGAGTCCGCATTCGAGTTCGCTGACGTGTGCCGCAAGCACGACTACCACAACTTCGTGTTCTCCATGAAGGCCTCCAACCCGCTGGTGATGGTCCAGGCGTACCGGCTGCTGGCGGAGGAGATGTACAAGAAGGGCTGGGACTACCCCCTCCACCTGGGAGTGACAGGTGGGGTTGGGGGGCAGGGGAAGAAAGGAACGGAGTGTTCAATGGCGGTAGGAAGAAGTAGGGTAGGGTAGGGTAGGGTGGGGTACATGCATTGGAGACGTGGGGTGGCGTGGGGTCCACGGTGATCGGGTGGGGGGGGCCGATGTGTGACTTTCCAGGCCCATTCTCCCTCCCCCTCCCCCTCCCCCTCCCCCTCCCCCTCCCCCTCCCCCTCCCCCTTCTCTTCCGCCCATTTTCCTGTCCCCCGGCCCCCCTCCCGCAGAGGCTGGTGAGGGTGAGGACGGTCGCATGAAGAGCGCCATCGGTATCGGGGCGCTGCTGATGGACGGCCTGGGTGACACCATTCGCGTGTCGCTTACGGAGGACCCCGAGTACGAGATCGACCCGTGCAAGCGGCTGGCGGGGCTGGGGGAGAGGGCGTGGAGCACGGTGAGGGGTGCGGGGGCGTTGGGTGTGTCGGGGGGAAGAGAGGGGGAAGAGGGGCCGCGGGAGGGACACTCGCTTCTTGCTCTTTCTCGGTGCCTCCGGCTTTGCTTCGAAACCCCGGTGGGCCGTACCATCTCCTTGGGGGCCGTACTACTGTACTGCTTGTACGGCAGCACTGCTTGTAAGACATTCTCTCCACCATCATCATTACCAGGTAGTTTCTCCACCGCTCTGCCTCGTCGCCGTCCGCATCACCCCTCCTCCGCGTCCCCTTCCTCCCACTGTTGTTCCCTGTCCTGCGCCTTTCTCCCACCCGGCTCCGACCCGGCCAGCCGTTCTTGTAATTCGGGGTTGCGCACACTATTCACCCGCCTACCCCCCCGCAACCCCCCCCCCACACACACACCCATCCCCCGGCCCCATGCAGGGTCTCGGTGTGGCTCCCTTCACGGAGACCACCCGCGACACGCACACCTTCAAGCGCCGTGTGGGCGACCTGCCCGTACAGCACGAGGGTGAGGAGCTGGACTTCCGCGGGGCCCTGCACCGGGACGGCACCGTCTTCAGTGCGGTCAGTCTGGAGGACCTCAAACAGCCGGAGGTGAGGGGGGGGAGAGGGGTTGTGAAGGGGGGGATGTTGTGAGGAAGGGGTGGGAAGAGATCATCGGGTAGAGGGGAGGGGAGGAGCAGTGCCTTAAGACGCTCGACGGGGCAACCTACTAAAACAAGGGCCTATCCACTCGCTCCCACCCAATTCAAAGAACACCGGCAAATTTTCTCTTC